ATAGAGCTTGGCAAAAAGTTAGCCGAAAAACCATTGCAAATTGCTTTAAGCATGGGGGATTTGTAAGAAAAGAAACTGATTATGAACCAGACGATAAAATTCCACTTAACGAATGGTTCGAAAAGTATAAAGACTCCTACTACGAGTATGACACAGACGAAGATGTCCCAATGTTGTCGAAGAACAAGTTAAAACCAACTTGAGTGATTTAAATTTCTTCGAATATGTGAGCATTGATAATGGCATACAAGATAAATGTTGACCGATGAGCAAATTATAGACTCCGTAACCTCATCTACAGCTTTAAGCGATAATGAGAAAGATGACGATTTAGGTGAAACGTATTCTACTGTAGGCACTAATGCTGTTCCAACCATTTCTGAAATGACAAAAAACTCGGAATTTTCTACAATCACGCCAAGTTCCTAATCATATCTGGGAGTCCTTTTGTGATCTTGGAAACTACATAAATAACATCTATTTTTGCAGCAGAAATGTACAAACAAAAATTACAGACTTTATGAAGTAGATTTCAAATTGAATTTTGTTTATCTTTTTGTGTTCCTTTTAGTCATACCTACTAACTTCTACTATTCTATGTAAAAATAACGAAATAAAATACACCACGTGTTTTTGTATTATTATTCGCTCATAGCGAACTCCGGATATAACGAAACAGTTTTAGTTCATTTTCCAAGTTCGTTATATCCGGAACTGTATTTTATTTATAATAATAAAAAACAATATTGTCGGTTTTCGCCAAATGTTTATAAAATATTACATTTTATCTAATGATGACGACCTTATCATTCCTAATCCTAACTTTTTTCAAGTATTTGACCAAATTGCTCTGTTATTGTTAATACATGTCCAGAGCAATCGTTCTCGGTCCAAAGTATTTAAAAGTTTGCTGTAGGAGACCTACTCAGATCAAGATCAGGATAAAAAAGATTATTAGAGTTAGAAAAAACGAAGTAGAATGAGTCGGCTTTGAACGCTTGAGTGCACTATGAAGTGTTTTAACTAATAAAAAGTTATGCTGTTGTAATAATTGCCGAATCAATCAGTATAATTCGAAGCTAGGCTATAGAACCATTATTATTATTTCACAAACGATGCATAGCCAATACGCTGGTTTTAGTGCCGTAAGCTTCATACGACCATGCCTGTTTTAAAGGCAGTCAAATAAAAAACTATTTAAGTCTAAACACTATGGTAAAACCTCTGCTATGTACATGCAAGCATTAGGCTCAAATCGCTATCAACATCCGAATAAAATTGTACACACACAAATGAAAAAAGCTATGCCCTTTTTATCCAACACAACTTTGTTGACAGCCTTAGACACAACTTGAATACTTACGGTCAGGCGATGGGCTCAAACCAAACAATCACTTTCAAATATATTGAAATTACGCACGGAGTTTTATGGGGGAAGATGCACTTTAGTAATTATTAGCAAATTGTAGAAGTAAAAGCCGCAAGTGTTTTTCTTCGAATATAATCGGCGTTCATAGATGATGAATGATGGCGGAACTGACAGAATTCACTGAAAGCTGTCATGTGTCTAGATCGCGCAAACCGTACCGGCGTTGCCAAGTGTTTCATCCTCGTCATGTGACGAAGATGACACTATTTCACCAACAGTACCGATTTTATATAGTTTTTATATTTTCTATAATATTAAAAATACCCAATAGCAGAGACTGATAAACGAGAAAGAGAGAAATTTCGAGGAATAACAAAAACATATATTAGAATCAATAAAACATATAAACGAATGTAAATGAGGATCTATCTACAGCTCGCACTTAAACACTACCTGAATCTTTTTTTTTTATTCGTTTTGGATTGAAACTGATTTTCCTATTCTTCCACCGTTTTTCACTTGCTTTCACATACTTTTTCACTTGCTTTGCCAGTTCTGGTTTTACCCAAAATTGTGGGTTTTTGAGATTTTTTATATGGTATCAAACCGGTTATTTGCATAATTAATATATTGCAATCGGTTAATTGATTATTGATTCGATATGAAAATTTCTTATTACTTTGATACTTTTCGAAAACACAGACAAGGTATGAAGAGGTTCAAATAGCTCTTGAATCAAATCTCTTCCAATTTAGTGGGAATTTAAATCTAAATTTACACTAGCTGACCCGGCAAACGTTGTATTGCCATATAAATAAGGGTTTTTTTTCATCTCGAGTGGGCGGTTTGCACACTTGAGATTTTTTTTAAATTTTATTTTAAATTTATTGAAATACTAATATAGCTATTAAAAGATAGGGGTTTATGGCAGCACCCATATCACTTAGGGGTATAAAAAATAGATAACAACCTATTCTCAGACCTACTGAATATACATACAAAATTTCATCAAAATTGGTTAAGCCGTTTCGGAGGAGTATGGTAACTAAAACTATGACACGAGAATTTTATATATACAGATAGATAAATCACAGATTTAAATATTTATTGCGTTTGGTAACGGATGCAAATCCGTAAAAATCGGTCACATATCGCTGGCTTTTGTTAATGCAATTGAAACCATAATAGTCATCTGCTTGATAAAATTACCCATAGATTAAGATATCAGATTTAAGGATGACATGAATATTTTTTCTTTTATCTAAACAATATGAGGAGAGTCTTGATAAACGTGATAATATCAAACAGAAACAGGCAATGATTGATGTGACAAAAACTCGTAGTTTTGCAAAGGATAGCTTTTAAAAATTGAGTGGTGGAGCAATGTTCCAAAATGTTTGAGCTTGTGCGAATTTTTGGAATCTGTTTATATTTTGCGTTTGGTAAGCTCATAGGGAAATGGGTAATTTTGTACAAGTAAATTGATTTTACCGCATTTTGCAGCTTTCAGTCAAGGTGATGACTTTCCGATAACAGTAAACCTGACCGACGATTCTCCCACATTCACTTGGACCGCGAATGATTATCCTTCAATAATAGTTGGAGCTGAAAATGGGTATCAAATACAAGTCAATGTAACGGTACTGAACTTGGATGGAGAAAATGGCGATTATATTACGATTCAAAGCTGTAAGAACCACAAGTTAACGTTTCCTTCGATCTAGTTTTGGTAGCGTTCTTATGAAGGATCTTCAACTCATGAAGATTAATTTTTCAATCCTTTGCCTCCTCTTCATCGTTTACCAATATGAAGTGGTAGAAATTTCGCGGCCGCTAATGCAATAATTAATTTTGTTTTCGGCTTTAGATTGTTTCAGCTTTTTAATCAGTGGAAATATAGCTGACAAAACTAACTAATGATTGGCTTGCAACGGCTGGAGAACACCTGATAAATCTGAATTAACATATTTACTAAATTACCGAATATTTTAGCAAAAGAAGACGAGATTAGCGATGCGGCCCTTATGTTCACTTATACAGTGAATGACCAGCCATGCTATCTGTTCAATTACAGCGAAATCCGAGCTGATTTTATTGGAGCTACTAATGAAATCAACACTTTTGAAATAAAATTCATTCGTGTAGGTAAGTAAATCAGAGACTCTGGCAAGACATATTATGTATATGCTTAGCCCTGATTCGCATCTTATCGCACATTGCACTTCTTGTTCAAATCAGGACAGAAGGATAAAGAAAGATTTTGATTTTTGGACTTCACCATTAAGTCAAGAAAACGAGGATTAAAACGGCGAGCAACTAGAAGCATATAACTACTATAAGCAACTTAAAAGAATAGTCAATGACGGATTGTTATAATTATAACATGGTTTCAGGAGAAGCGATTACCACTACCCCCGAACCATTACCAACTACTACCACCCCAGCAATGCCAACAGCCGCTCCTGATGAACACGCCAATCTAACAGTTTATTTGTATGGAAGAGCTGCTGCGGACTACAAATTCACTCAAATACTCTCACTAAAACAAGCCATAGTGAGCATGGGAACTGAGTACTGCAGAGATCAGAATTGTCCACTTAACGAATCGATAACGTGCGTATTCTCAGAGTTGAAAAACCAATTAGGGCCAGTAGGTGTGCGAATATTCGAAACCGCAAGTTTGCATCATGCATGGTTTCTTATATCCCCATACTTGGTGTGTAAATGAATAACGTAGAAAAATACAGTTACGTTTTCTAGAACAAATAATGTAAAAATTGATCTGTTGGAGTCCTGCCCGATCTATTGGGAAAACTTCGATAATTGTATCCTTTTAACATTCGCTCTTCCGATAATCAAAAAGGAAAATGCGAGCGAGCTTTGGGCCGGGTATCAGCTGGATAAGGAAAACTTACGATACATGTGGAATAATTACGCTGAAAGCTACATCATGGAAATCGGTTTGGAGCTCTACAACGTTCCAAATGTGATCCATATATACACCTATCGGTTGATCGTGATTTGTGTGGTTGTTGTGCTTTTGGTGATACTCATTTTGGGACTCCGAACCATCATAGCCCGAATAAATAAAAGAAAGTTAGTGAATTACTACTCAGCGCTTCTGAGTTTCTTAATGCAAACTTTTATTAGAAGACGATCCAGCGACGTGGCATCCTTTATGGATCAATCATCTAATAGACCCAGTCAACTGTCTCTAACTCCTCATTATCTGCAAATAGTGCCGGCTTTATTCACAACCGATTTTCCCATGTATCCTGAACAACGAAACGACAAACAGTATGCAGATTTCCAGGAAAACAGTGGTGAGTTTGAAAACTACATAAAATATCCATAAAAAATTGAATTTTTCTTAGTTTCCGAAGAAATCGAGCCCATTGCATCCCCAGAGCTGAGTGTTTTAAGTATGGCTCCTGATGAATCGAATGAACCTGAGCATGCAGAAGAGTGACTAAATAATTTCCGGAAGCACTTAGTTTAGTTCAATTTAATGCTTGATAAAAGTTACCGTTGAAATGTTTTTCTTTTACGTAAAATAATTAAGTTAAAGTAAATAATTAAGAACGATAAATATGTACTCATTCCAAACTATTCACGGAAAAAAATTACTGTTTCATCAAAATTAAAAATAACCCTGCACAGCGTATTAAATTTGTCTTTTTATTGTAATTCCTCTTGTATTTACCAATTATTATATTGCCTCTTATACTTACCCTTGTTCACTAACAAAAATAGTTTTTGCAAAACTAGTTATAAGAGCACTGGGAACTGGATAAATAAATATAAAAAGTTTATCTAAGTCTCTATTACAAAACTTTATACAGAAAGAAAATACAGTTGTCGAAAACAAACAATAAAAATTAGAAATATTTATACATTTGCCAATTGCAAGTTAACCATAGCTAAACAACGAGCATACAGTAAAAATCTCGAAAAGTCCAAACAAAGATTTACTTAAATGAACCAAGTTTTTTAATAAATTGTCTTTAAGCCTCACTAGAACAGTACTGAGAGTATTCTTGCATGTATAAAATATCTACACACTAGTAAAAAAATCAGTTACAGTCTTTTTAGTTATATATATAACTAGTTATAAGAGCCCTGGTAACTAGATAAATAAATATAAAAAGTTTATCTAAAGACTCAGTAATTACAAAACTTTATACAGAAAGAAAATACAGCTATACAAAACAAGCAATCAAAATTAGATATATTTATACATTTGCCAATTGCAAGTTAATCATAGTTAAACAACGAGCATACAGTAAAAATCTCGAGCTCAAAGAAAGATTTACTTAAAAAGAACTAGTTTTTTAATAAATGATCTTTAAGCTTCACTAGAACAGTAGTGAGAGCACTCTTACATCTACACACTAGTAAAAAAATCAATTACAGTCTTTTTGAGAAGTTTTGCTCCATATGTCTCGATGATCTTTGAATGGTGTTTAATTTCGACTTGATCCTGTCCTCCACTGAAGTGTGTTTAGCACTTTTTAATAACTGCGTGTGTATTAAATCAGCATCATATTTCTTGGTCACTGATTCATCTTCTTGTTTAGCGGCTTCCCTGTACTTTCTGAGATGCTCCTCTCGCTCCTTGTCCCGAACTTTCGCGTTTTGCATCATTTCCTGCCTCATTTTCTCCTTCTCCTTCTCACTCAGTTTTTTAACGCCTTTTTTTTCAGGCTTTGCAGCTTCTGTAACCTTCTTCACTGGTCGCTTATCGGTGGTAATCGGTTTGCCCTTGTTCTTGAACGCTAGTTTCTTTCCATCAGAAGTAACTAAACCAAACGTTTTTGGTCTCTCTGCTTCTGAGCTGCTGTCACTATCACTATCACTAGATGATTCGTCTTCTGAACTAGAAGAATCACTTCTTAAATGTGACGGCTTGGCAGGCAACATTGCTTTAGGTTTTGCTTCTGTTTGATTTCGCAGCAATTTTAATTGTGCCATAATTTTTTTATCGAGCTCAGCGTCTGGGTCTTCGAGGGGCTTTCTGTTGGGGCTTCGATGACTGCGCCTATCTTTAGATTCATATCTGGATCTACTGTAACTTGCGTCCCTGCTTCGATGTGAATTCCTTTCTTTTGGTTTATCCTCGTCTTTCTCTGAGCGAAATCTATTTTTCAGCTTGCGCTTCTTGTTCCTGTCCTCATCACTACTGGAACTGGCGTTGCCTTTCAAGGTTTCATACCCCTTTGAGCGAGTTCGCTTTTTTGGATTGCGTTTCTTGTACTTGTCCTCATCACTACTGGAAGTGGCTTTAACCTCCCTTGAGCGACTTCTTTTCGTTGGCTTGCGCTTCTTCTCCGTGTCCTCATCACTACTGGAACTCGCTTTGCCATTTAATACCTCCTGTAGGTCTTCTTCTGTTAATTTGCTTTTAAACGCATTGAATTTGTGCATTAAAATAGTATCCAATGCGTGCTTTTTGTCCTGTTTTGATTGTTTTACTGGAGTTCGCATTTCAAAGGGGCTGAACTTGTTAATAAACTCTTGTTTGAATTTCTTGCTCTGCATGCTTTCTTTGTGATGCTTCTTCGATTTCTTCTCCATCTCCTTCATATGCAGGGCTTCTTGCAGTTTCCTCAACTGTACGGGATTTTGCAGGAACTGTCTGCGAACTTCTTCCTCCCTTTTCTTGATGGCCACTAAAGGATCTTCTTGGAGCTTTGCTGATAGATCAACCTGCTCGGACTGCACGATTTTGTTAAAGTCCCTGATCGACGGTGGAATGCATTCGTGCTCCACATGGTTTTTCGGGACGGGCAACACTACTTTCTTCACTTTTTCTTCTTCATTGAGCTGCTCCAACGTTTTATCAATTTTACGTCCAAGCAAATAATCTTCGCGATTCACTAAACTGTTAGCACCTTTATAAATCCAGTCCAGTTTGTCTTCTTGGGCCATGATGCAACTGATTTAATTTACAAAACCAAAAGCACAATTATTTTGATAAACAAAAGGTTGCAAACGTAACCAAACTTTTGAGTCCTAACAACAGAAAGAACTTGAGCAAATCACGAACAAAACTGATAGAAGACAGAAAGGTAGCCGCTTTTTATAACGTCGCCTAAATGGAGCAATCAAGCGAAGGCGTGAAGTTAGCCGCAAACAATGCCACGTTGCCACTGGAACTATAAGTATACTTGCAATGTTGCTGCTGTTGATTATTTTATATAATTTTATTTTGTTTAATAATGCCGTTTATAAAATTATATTTATAAAATAGATATTTTCATAAAATATTGTCTTACTGGAGGTACGTGAGTATGTATATATTTCTTTCCAGTCACAACGGAATTTATCTTCTACCCATTATAATTATGAAAAATTATTTATATTTGTATTTACATAGTATTTAAAAGTGTTAGTAAAAAAGGTAGTAATCTACATAGTGTTATATATAGTCGATATTAACTTCTACCGTCACCGGTTACGTAAATTGTTATTAACAGCAAGTGTGCAAATCAGATTACACTTCAGACTCTTTGAAACTAATTCAAACTACTTTTTTTACAAATTTTTACCACGCGATCTTAGGCAATCGGCAATACAAACATTCCCCGATGGTACTCACGTAAACACATGCACAGAACATACCCCGAGTGGGGATATTTTGTGCACATGAAAATAAACGCCCTGTCTTTCTTATATATATCTCTTATCTGTTCTGACAGGCAGCAGTGTTGCCAAAAAGATTTTAAAATTAAAATTAATTATAAAAATTAAAAAGATATTTCGGTGATCAACTTTAGTTCGTAAATCAACCATTAGATCTAAAACTAAGATAATTTTAGGTCACTTTAAGGAACATCTGGCTTGGCCATGCTTTGGCCATTGCGTTTTTATATAACCTTTATATTAAGGTTTCATTGATTTTAACCAGTTTTTTAAATTAATATTCAGATTATAAACGTGTTAACACGGACCTGCTGTTGTCGCTGTTTAATCATTTCCATTATGATATATAAAATTTTATATAAACGCAAAAATTGGGCTAAATAAAAGGAAAACGAACGAACTGAATGATGGTTTTTTTGAAAATGAAGACTAAAACTTAATTTGGTTTTTGCGCTCGCTCAGAGTTGCATTAAAAAATTAGTTTAATTTACACCCGCTTTAATATAACGACAAAATTAATAACTTTAAAAGTTCAGCTTGTTTTTGAACTAATCAGTTTACTTCATAACTAAAATGTTTTTAGGAGATTTAAAGAGCAATTTGATTAGCTGGTTGATGGCGCAAAGCTTCTCATTTTGCAAGCAATTTTCACTCAGCTATAAGATCATTAAAATATTTTTTTCTAGTTGCCCATTAGGAACGTGCGCCTATGCTTGATCTGATTGAATCTGAATTTGCGCTTTAGAAACTTGAAACTCTCTCTATACGTTTTTTAAATAGTGCAATGCAGAGCGGCTTAATAGAGGAGTTTCACCATAGAGACAGGCGTCGTTCCAAGTTTTCTTTTACTTGACAACGCATGTTATTTGCGATAGTTTTGTCAATTTATCATTTAGTATCTAACTGTCTACACTTTTATGTACTTGAACAATGGCTGGCCTTCCTAAACTGCCCGGATTTACATTCACTGACCCCACAGTAATAACCGAAAACTTGGCACTATTTTGGTTTCAACCGATTTTTTGTAGCTTTCCAAGTTTCATCGATCACAGACTTTCAACATATGCAACGGCTACAAACAGAGCAAATTGCATTACAGCGGAATTGGAGGAAGAGAATTAACCAGCAACTCGGTTAAGCATATCGGTAAGGAGGATCCCATTCGATATGATCCCTCACTCACCTACGGACGGTGTAAAGCCAAACCGCTACCACAGTTTACGCCCCATTTTGCTCTATACGATCAAAAATGCTTAACATTTAAGGCGTTTTTCAAACAATCGGTGGTGGAATCGCCTTTGGAGTTTTACCGAGTCCGCCCGGTAAATATCTATTATTTTCTGGAAGACGATACGATTTCTGTTATTGAGCCCAGAGTTCCAGTAAGACCATCTCTGACCAGTACATTTTCCGGCGGAATTTACGTCTTTTTATTTTTTAGAACAGCGGGCTTTTGCAAGGAAAACTGGTGCGTCGATCGAAAATACCCAAGTATGAAGACGGAAGCTACTGGCACTGGAAAGACTTTCAAGTTGGGAAAGATTTAGCTTTTTACGGCACCGTTTATCACACTGTAGATTGCGACTTATTTACAAGGGCAAGTCCTTAAACATTTCATTAATTACACCATTATACATATAACAAGGTGTAAAAAAACGCCCATCGAATGCCTCCACTACCTACGTTTGGAAATATCGTCTAAATCATTGTTAGAGTTTTTCAGATGTTCCCAATTTCGAAGCTCTAATTGTCGATTTTTTAATTCAATGAGATCGATTTGAACTTTCAAAACGCATTTTTAATGATAAATTTATAGTATTAAGTAATAATTGTTTTCCCCGAGCACAATTTGCAAAGGATATCCTTTGCCATGTTTTTATCCTGATTTATTTTTCTGACTGCGCGTACTTGTTAACATATTCTTATTATCCTTATGTCTTTTAGACAGTTAAAGAAATTTAAGGTTTCAAGAAGTCAAAGACCTAAAAGAACGTTAATATTTACCAATCACGATATAAATCTGATGATGGCGCTGTTGTCTAGCCGAAACGTAATGAAATAAACGATATTGAAAATTTTTACTTCACACTTTGACTGAGACCCAGGAAAGATAAGAATACAATAACTTGTTTTTATCATATTTTACAGATTTTTAAACCATTTATCCCAGTATTTATTCAAGCGCAATGTAACAAAAACAGTTCTTGAGACGGGCTACCAAAAAGGTACCCCGATGAACCGTTTTTGAGATGTAGAGGCTTTTAAACTTTGAGGACGCTAAATTTTAAATGTTTTTCTTGTCGCGTTTACGGTTCTAATCAGTTAGATTAGAACCTCTATTTCTATTCCTAGATACTATTATTCCACAGATATGTTTCATAAAAGACCCCCGTATTTGCAGCAATTTTTTCAAATAACTCACAGTAAACAAGATTAAAATTAAAACTCTATGATAAAAAATTGAACTTAATATTAAAAAAATAGGAATATATGGCTAGCCAAGGACTGGACATGGGCGATCCTGAAGAAATGCCTTATGATCCATACACCTTCAATAGACAATTACAAGTAATACCAAAAATCACCAAAACTCCCCCTGCAGATGATAAGTTTAGAAGATTCTTGGAATACGACGGAAAAGTCCTTAGGTGATTTTTTTTCTGAAACAGTTGATTATTTGAAGAAATTTATTTGCCAACATTCGACAGATTTAAAGCGGCTTGGGATGATCGGGAAAACGAATACGGCGATCTAATGAAGTTCGAAATTCTGTTTTTCCTATCCGATGACACGGTGGCGGTAAAAAATGTCCACGAGGAAAATAGCGGCAGAGATCCTTACCCCGTACTACTACGAAAAATTAAGTTGCCCAAAGTGAGTGCAAAGGCAAAATTGTCGCTGTTTTTTCCAAAATTTCCAAAATTTTTGCCTTCCAGATTTATACTGATACACCCACAACATATGCGGCAATTTATTTGGAAAAAACCGATAATGAAGTTACAGAATACTATCAGCCAAAGGATTTTTTAGTAGGCAACACTATTTTTGTGCTGGGCCGTGATATGCTACTATACGATTGTGATAAGTTCACTAGAGACTATTTCAGGTAAATGACAATATTTGTTCTTTGAAAGTAATTTCTGCTCTTTGCAATCATCCTTCTGGTAAATAATGGTAGCCATAAATATTTTTAAAAAGTTCGCTTTCTTTCCATTTATTTCTCAACAACACGTTTTTAGGAACGCATTGTGCATTGAACAAAAGCCCCCTATGCAAATTGATGATTCCGAGAAACCAAAGCCACCTCCTCAAGTGCCTCCTCATGACGGATTAGGGAGTTTAGAAGACTCCTTACAGAACACATTGACCTTCTTACCAAAACCACCAAGAAAAGATGTCATGAGACAAATCGCCAATGCGAATAAGCATTTACGGTAGGATTAATTTACAGGGATTTTCGGGGCGAATATTTTAGATGCTAATGGGGATCAGTTTTCTTTATAAACATTAAATATTGTAGTTACGAAATGAAAATGGATGCAGTTCACCCTGAAGACACGGTTCGACGATTCATATTGTTCTACTCTTTATCTGATGGTACGTGTAGAATACAAGAACCCCCAATTAAAAATTCGGGGATACTTGGGGGAAAGTATCTGAGAAGCACCTTGCTAGTTAAGCCCGGATCAGATCCTTTAAATCCTGAGCTTTATACACCAGAAGATTTCTATATTGGGGCCAATATAATTGTATTCGGACAAAGGTGAGTTTATTGTCCATAAACTAATAATTTCCATCCAAAAATTGCTTTCTAGATTTATAATTACTGGAGCTGATTTATATGTGTATCGATATATGCAGGAGAATTCCAGCAAATTTTCTTGCGAGGTGATTGAAACCATGAGGAACTGGATGTTCAGTCAGGGATATTTGAAGGACGACATCGACGATGCAGTTAAGGATAATTTGGATGCCAAAAAGAACTTTGATGAAACTATTGGTAGTTATTAGCTAGTTTATTTCAAACCGCCGTTCTGCTATTTAAATATCCATGTTAAAGGCCAAAAGGAATCCGATTTGGACAAATGTCTGAAAAAGTTTCAAGTTGATTCAAGCGCAACTGATGCCGAAGCAGACAAAGCTAAGAGCAGAAAAATGCTGCAAGAGTACGAAGACTCAATTAAGCACACATATCAAGTCCCCCCACATGGCATTCTCCCAGTCGAAAAAGACTGCGCTTATCCTGTGTATACGGGCAAAGAAAAGGACCTTAGCTGCACAGAGGATATTGAAGGTAAGAACCTCCGGATGTAACTATTTACTAGGCATGTAAATTTTCACTTTGCCCAGCGAAATACACTTCGTACACACCAAAGCACATTGACACGCCTGAGGAGGTGGTCGCAAAATACTATGCAGGAGTGCTTAAAAAACAGAAGGAAGTTTGCGATCAAAGGTACCCAATCGAGTGCACTGATCCGCCAGTGGAAGATCCACATAAGTGCGAAAAGGAGGAGGAAAAGCAGGGACCCATAATGGTTAGTCCTCCGGATGTTCCTGCAGGATCATGCAAAGCTAAAAAGAAACTTGTCCGGTTTGATGACAGTAGGAGATGCACTACAGAGCGAGATGATCTTTGCGATTTAAAACGAGAAGTAAATCATTGCGATTGTACTGATTATAACAAGGACTGTGCTTAAACGATGATTTTTGTCATATATTATATGTATTATATTATATATGGTGGGAAATCTGGGATGTCTGGTTTTAATTTTGAACACTTTTTATGAATTTTCGTATCTGACTTATTTGGAAAAACGGTATTTGTGCTTGATATTATGAAAGCTGACATAAATCGAGCAAATTTTCTTGAGCAACTTATTAAGTCGGCGTCGAGATTATCTTAGCGGTTTGCGTGCTTTGAAGCTTTGTTCTTAAAAAACATTATCAAACGTGTTTTTTTATGGTTTGGTTTTATCAGAAATTCTTAACATTTAATGAAAAGGGAGCAAAAAGATTCGTCTTCGAAGTTATTAAGGCTTAGATCTCAGAAACGGTTGGAATAGCCAATCAGACCTCCCGCTAAACAATTTTTCGTTTCAGAAACGTATATTAAAACCCCGAAACGTTTCAGTTACCTGCACTATATGTTTCAGAAATGTTTATGTAACTGCAAATGCGCTAGACGTTATTTAAACGTTGCAAATTAATATTTTGTAATATTATGCATGGTATATCTTTGAAGAGTGCAAATATTTTAATTGGTGGCACATAATGGCCGCAGAAGCAGAACTATAGGATTGCCGTGCTTCGAGGACAAAACTGTACCACCAGTTGAAATATTTGTACTCATCAAAGAATCAATATGTAGTTTCATGATTCTATAACGTTTTCACAAAAATATTTACAAAACATTTTAAGCTAACTTGCCCGAGTTTGTTGTTTATTAATGGTGAGTACAATTTTTAAGTATTTTGGATTTGGGCCAAAACTAGAAAATTAAAAAAAAAAAGCAACAAACTATGATTTCATAACAATCGCAAGTTTGCAATTATACCAAAATTCACCTTTTTGTCCATAACCGGGTGCTTTTTTAAATATGTCATCTGCCAATTCGCTACAGCTTGAGCTACAGGCTACAGTAGATACTTAACCTCTATGTCTTTAACTCTAGTTTCTTAAAGTTTAGTACGTCTTTTGTGGTTTGCAATGAATACATTGCTAAAACAAACATCATTACAGAATTTAGGAGGTTTAATAAGGTTGGTTCGTTAATAGTCGGTTGCACATAATTCATCTGAATAATTGCAGAAGAACCTTAACTAAATCCACTATTTCACATACTCCCAGAGGCTATGAGGGTGAAGGAAAGACCACTATGCACATAATGAATAGAGACAATGAGTTTGGTTTAATGATAGATGGATTTAGCCAGGTAAATCTTAAGTTCACACTTTAAATTCAAACATTGCAACTTGCTGTTCGAATTTGGTTTGAAAGTTGTTATTTTTCGGACTTTCATTGAGGTTGTTGTGCACTTAGATGTGTTACTGATTGGCTTCTTTCAGCCACTTACTATATTATACCCCAAATATTATGCAATGCCTGTTCATTGCAGTCTCATTAAGCATTAATAATGTTCGATTTTTGGGGTTTACAAACTTATATATTCGAATGTTCGCCAGTGAGTCTTTTAAAGCTTTAAGCGCTAACGTTAATTAAGAACGTTTGGGTATTTCTGCTATTCTACTACATATTATCTCTATGGTGTTAAACTTCGTTATTATTTCATAAATGTAAGCTTTTGATTTTAACAAATACGCCCAAGAACGTGTAATGATCTTTACACTTTTACCTTTACGCTTTTGGAACTGCTACTACTTCAAAATCCAATATTTTATCCACTTTTATCTCATTTCTTCTTTCTGTACTATGTTTCAAAATAGTTCATCCAGCATGAAGTTTCCAATCTCTTTACTAACGATTTTTCTTCGTGGACCATTTCGTTGTGGAAATACGATTTTCGATCAGTTTCCACTTCGATAAGATAAAGTGCTCATATAACTTAGCGCAAATGCGATAAACTTGAAAATAACTCCTTCACTTACTAGTCATTTTTTTCACTATGAACGTTTCTTGTGAATTCTTCACCTATTCAACTAGAGCGGACTGATTTACATATTTCGGGTGTTCTTACACTCAGAAGATCACTTATCAACGCATTACGCTTCAAGGTAATTTACACTATTACCTGATACCTAATTTGCTTAAATGGCAATCCAGACCTATTCTCAGAATGAGTTTAGATATTCAATTCCTAAATTTTCTTAGGGATTGTTTGACTTAAATTCCTTCTTCTAAAAACCAAAGCCATGTTTTTAGTTTCTTTTCTATGTTATGTAGGTCGGGTTCAGACTGAACAATCACATGACAATCTTAGGACCAATGGTTTTATTTCCAAGGTAAACGCTTTGAATTTTTTTATTAGATTTCAACAGTTTTTCATCTTTACTATCAGTCTCAGTAACAATTCGTGCTCATAAATCAACATACAAAGCTTGTAGTTTTTGCCTGTATTGAAATATTGATCAAAGATCAGTGATATTATTGCCTGAAGTCAATTAGAGATCAGTTTCATTATAATCGCAAACTAACCTGTTCAAAAAGATATTTTTCTATTTATTAAAAAAAAATATAAATTTCAGATAAAGTAACTTTTTTCCAGATCTGTACTTGCTTGGAACATCTCTGATATTTTCGATGTAAATGAGGATTCTTTGTGTTTGTTGGGAGTGTTAGAGCCAAAAATAGATATTTTAGTATTAGGAACGGGAGATAAAACCGATTCAAATAAAATTTATAGTATGCTTCATGGCTTCTCTAGAAAGCATAATATTTGCCTTGAAGTTCTTCCCACCGAAGCAGCATGTCCGACTTTCAATTTTTTAAACGCAGAGGGAAGAAATGTTGTCGGAGCAATGTTGCCCCCGCAGAACATTAATTATTCCGATGATGATCACCTTAGAACAAAGTTAAGATATGAAAAGTTGTTTGACAAACGGTAGTGAATTAAAGTTTATATGGAAATAAAAATTAAACTAAACTGGATTTTGATTTTCATGTTACTGTACACTGAGAGAAGCAAAAAGATATCTGTAAACAAAACGGATAAAAATATTTACAAAGTACTTATATAATGTAAATAGTAAACTTATGATTAATTTGTACAATATATACAGTATAGCAACGATTATATGACGGGTACAAATTTGTTCAATAATTTTTTATGTATTAGTAAACAATTCTTGATGCCAATTTTTACCCACGTATTAGTCAGAACAATTTGCTCTATGAAGTCAGTTTTGCAAGTTTCAACAAGGTCCGTGATTAACTATTATAATCGAGGCTCCACTGTATCTAACTATTCTATAAAATAAATGCTAACTCATACATAAAGAAATAATATTTATTTCTAAATAATTACTGAACCAAACCATATCTAATATCTATGTTAAAATCCTCTTAAAATTAAAGCAATGGTTGTGTTATCACCCATAATAAAGAAAAATTATCGAATCCTAAAATAAAACTTGAAAATATGTTAAAAAAATGTAGTGTAGTTATCTTATCTCAAACATCAGCAATTATATTTCGAATTGACTTAATAATGTTGCTGGTTAGTTAGCGCGCATTCAGAACTTTCAATAATTCTTTTCGGTAAATTTTAGAACCAAATTGGTAAATCACTCAAACTAAGCAATATTTTACAATTAATATACATATGATATGAAGTTGTAATTACTTAATTAATATATTAGAATAAACAATATATTATACAGTTCATTGCAAAATTTGAACACATTTAAAATATTGTGTAACCCCATGAAATGCCTAACAAGCGTATATATTCTCGGAATAAAACTATAATCCAAGACCATTATACATTTTTTTGTTGTTTTGAAGCATTTTATTTAAAACAATTAAATTTAGGTTCCATGAGCATTAAAAAATTGTTTAATAAATTAAAACAAATTTTAATTGAGTTCGAGCCTTGAAGATTATTTAAATATGTAACAACAGTACCTTTTAGTATAAAGTGTTCTTTGTCAATTTATTTTTTAACGCCATTTCATTTTGTATGCTTTATACATGTGCATGTATCAACTGAATGTAATTTGAAATCAAGAAATAATTTAAAAAATAATAATGAGTGAATTTTTTGTCGTATAAACGATAGTGTTACTAAAGATTTTGTCTAAAATAATTTATTGTATATCTATTATTGATTTGTTCAGATTCCGGTTCTAGTTGCTAAAAATAGACAAAACCAGCTCACATCCTATAATCTAAGACATTTCGAGTTATATAAATCTACATTAATCGCCGTTCAAACCTTAGTCATCGACACCAGGCACGGGCGGTAAAGATACCTCGATTTTTGACTTCTTGGGTGGCTGAAAATTCAGTTTAGGTGGTGGTGGAGAAATTTTCTTCTTACCGACACTGCTCTCTTCTTCGTTTAACATTTCCGCTGCTTTTTTGATAAGATCTTCTTCGCTTAATGTGCTCAGAACACTAGTGGGCTTCTCTTCTTGCAGAAGTGAATTGATCTGAGGCGGTGTTAGTTTTGATTTAACGGGCAAATTCAGAGGGATTGTGTTACTGCTCAAATCTGAAGGCTGCCCTGATGTTAACGGCCTACTGAATGTTTTCGGGATAATTAGCGGAATAGTTAGATCAGGCTCTTTAGTTGGAGCAGATGTTTGCTTTATCTGAAAAACGAAATCAAAGTTGCTACAGTAAAGCACACTGGAAAACATTCAAAATTAGCGTCGACTCTTCCTTTGATGATGTCATTTCGGATTTGTTTCAATAAGTTATTAGGTCTCGTTTTAATGAGAAAATGTCATTTGTAGGTGCGATCAAATAAATTGTGATCCCCTTGTTTGTGCAAACTTTGACGCCAATTTTGAATCACGTGTAGAAACAAGTCATACCGAAGTGGTGCTTGATTCGCCCGAACTTGTGGTTCCAATAGTTTTAATGCTGTCCAAAATCTGCTGTAAATTACTAGGCAAAGCTATGCTAGCCAACGCTGAACCGACTATCTCCGATTCGGCGGTAGCTATGTTCTTAGTAATGCTTGTAATTTCTGATTTTTGCTGCTCGATTTGTTTGTTCAACTCCTCCATCTGTCGTTGGATATCTAATTTCTTTGCCGATAAATCTGAATCACCTCCAAGCCCTGAAAACCGCAATGAACATTTTTTAAGAGGGAAAGTTATCATCATCATCATCCTCCTACCTGGTATATATTGCTCCGTCGATGTACTAGTCTGAGTTATTGATAACTCACTGATGGTCGACATATTCAAAGAAGCTGAAGTGGTGTCGATGATCGACGCTTCCGGATCAAAGTCTTCAGGACTGTATGGCTCATCTATAAAAAAATATTTATCGTATTCTATAATCCAGACACAATCTATAGTCCGGTTTACTCACCATCATCATTTGGGTTTTCATCTTCAATTGGCAAAGATTTCGGCGGTGGAGTGCTTGACTTGACCGGATTTACTATAGACATTATCAGGGGTGATAGTTTGGACATGAGTGACGGTGAATTCAATGCTGGCAAAGGTGGAGGAACGATTTCTGGTACTGTTGTACTTGTTGATGGTAGCGGAGGCGGAGCATGTTTAGCTAATCGTGGGTCCAACTAAGTTAAAAAGAAGTTTTAGATTAAACCACGGCACATTATATTTTATTACTTTGGGCACTGAAGGCACTGGAAGTGGGGTAGGCGTAACTTCTGCAGACATGGGAGGAGGCGTATATGAGCGGGCTGGCTGTGTTTGAACCACGTGGACTTCAACACGAGTTTTCTTATGTGGAGTCGCTGTTGTAGGCATGATGTCCAAATATGACCGTTTTCGTTTATCTCGCACTATGATCCCGAGCAGAAGGGCCGGTCGAGCTTCTTCAAATCCTAGAAATCATCATTATATTAGAAACATTACATATTATTCACAAGCAAACAGCAAGTCAAAGCAGATGCAGTGGATCCCGTTTAAGGCGCTGATAAACAAGTGTAGTGATTGAAGAATTTCGTTTTTTGTTGGTTTTATTCTTATGAGGTACAAAAAGAGCTATAGATGCTTTAACAACAATAGAAACAATCGAATTATTTAATTTATCCCATAATCTTAATAACACTTAACAAAAATTATATTAGACATTTTCGACCAACGAGTTGCAAAATTAATTCCAGACATTTTTTAAAAATCAATCGAATTGATTCGATTTTTCATAATACATAATAACCCGCATTATTTTAATCGATTCTCCCCCGTCACATATTTCGACTGCTATTCCATTTTGTGACCAGAGAATAGGAAAATTTACTTCGATTAAATACAACTATTTATTACATTGCATAATTCGTACAATCTGTCGAATATGAAAGTATCAGAATTTCCTCAAATGCAACCCATTTTGATTTGAAAAATTGTAACGAGACAAGTACCTTTTAGGTATGTTATGAGCAAGAAAAGTAGTACAAAATCATTTTTGTACGTTAATCGCTTGAAATATAAGACTGCCGTGGAGTTTCAAAATAAAATTAAAATCAAGTTAACTACTTAAAATGCACAACGAAAGTAAAAAATGTAAATAATTTTTACCATTTTGCACACGATCATTAATTTTCTTGACTGACGCTTCCAGCCACTGTTTGACTGTAAGTAAAAAAAAATAAATCAAGACACATATGTAGAGGATAAGGAACCATACATTTCTATACAACCCCGCAAATTCTATAAGAAGAAAAGTAGTAATAGATATAGATGAGAGAATAGCAATAGCAAAACATGCTGACGCCAAGCCAAATTTTATGGATATCACTTCCAGTGATAAAATAAATATGCAGAAACTAAATTTTTTACAAATTCGAAAAATCCTGACTCAGCAGAGAGAGTCGATGTTTGGAGTTCAGAAGTTTAGTGAAACTACTGTTTGAAATTAATGTGATTGATGATAGTAAAAATGTGAGCGCAAAGCAATTGAACAATAATGCTTTTTGAGAGTAAACTTAGCAATATTTATAATGAAACACTGTGGCATTTTAGGCTGGAATATATAGATTTTCCATACCTGGTCCATTGATGGGTAACAAAGCTTGTGGTATAGGTTTCTGAGCAGCTAGAGGCAAAATGTAGAAATCCTTTATAGATTTGTTTGTGCTTTTTACCACCCCCAATCTGTTTCTGCTGCTGAGATAGCTATACAAAGCCAAATACGGCATTTGTTCTTCTATATTTGTCGCATTAAGTCTAATCAGTGATATAACTTTGCTATTGGAGCTGCGCATTTTGCCAATATACTCCCATACAGTATCCGGCGATATTCTTCCGACAATATCTAGACTTGGAGACAGTTCTTTGCTCAGTCCGGAACAATCGCCTACCAAAATAGCACACAATGAAATCACTAAATATGAGAAAGAGTAAAAATTCGTTACCTGATACTTCATGAGCGGTTATTGAAATTTTCGCCACATCTACCATATTTATAGTACCCGACCAAATTTGCATGGCACCGCGAGGCTCTTTAGCAGAAGGCGATCGACCTTTGTCCTCCTCGGGATCCGCCTCTTTCAGTTTTGATACCGCTTTTCCTTCCATCGACAATTGGCTGGAAAGTTCCTCAACTTCCTGAGTCCGAGGTGGAGTCGGAATCGTAACTGTAGATGTAGGAACTTCATGATCACTGTCACTATCCATCGGTGCTAAATAATGTTAAAGATATTCACAATTCTATTACAGTTAGATTCGGGGTAATAAAATGTTGACTCAAGATGCACATGGAAAATGCTAAACTATGCCAAGTGTGCATTTCAAATATTCAATACTACTCGTACGTACGTGGGATAACAGGGAACATCCAAGACAGATAATAATAGTGCAACTAGTATTAACATAATACCGGCCACAAATAAAAATACTTATCTACATCTATGAGGAATGATCTCAAATCTACACAATCACAGAAAGACTTACCATTACCTGGTACAATATCATCTTGTGGGACATGCTTCCACAGTCTGTCTTCTACAGGGGGCGCAATTTTGTTCAGTTGCTCCAATATTTCTATAGCTCGCTTGTCTAAGCTGTCTGTTGCAGAAGTATTTCCAGTTTTCTTATGCCGAGAAGCTTTGGCTGACAACTTCCTAAAAATATCCATGGGGATTATTCAACGAAGGTTAATATGTGCAAGATATTACCTGTACTTATCCCTGTCCTTGCTTCGTTCCCTTTCATCTCTGCTCCTCGATCTGCTTCTCTTCTCCCTTTTCTTTTCTGTTTTGCTATCCTTGCTGCGGGATCTTGATCTCTTCCTGCTTCTGCTTCGATCGTGACTGGATGATCGACGTTTGTTATCTTTTTCCCTTTTATCTCTGCTTACATGCCGTTTTTTGTCACGATTTTTCTCTTTATGGCCATGCTTCGAAGAGCTTCGTTTGTCTCGAGATTTATCGCGGTCTTTGGAGTTGTTTCTTTTCACATCCGCATCTGTATCCAATGTGGATCCCTCAGTTAAACTTTTGATTATTTCGGTATTATCCGCTTTATTGCCTATGGTATTATCTTCCAAGACTTCTTCCCCTAAAATATAGCTTCCTTTATAGGTGACTTACAAATAAATAAAACTTAAAAAAAAATTAAAAACGAAGTATCAACCATTAAATTGTTCTTTTTTAATCTGACGTACGCACCTTTATGTGTTTTTAAAACATACTGTCTGTTACAATTCAATAGTTCAATTTCCGACTTTTTTATCATATCGAGTTGATGTTTTGCTTCTTGTTCTCGCCATTTTGCTAATTCTTGACTGGCCATATCATCGGGAGACAGTCTGACCTGCAACAAAAAATCGTTAAAGTTTAACAAACTATAAAAAACCCAATGCTTACCAATTCGTATGAACTAATACTCTTTTCGCATATGCGCCTCCATAATGTTTGGTTTTTTGGGTCTTTTATATTGAATATAAGACTCCTGTATTTGTTTTTATATTTTTGTCCAGTATCGCCGAAACATTTGTACAATTCGGTCTCGATTTCTATCGAAATGTTTTTCACCTACAAATGGCAATTGATAAAAAATTTGTGAAATGCGCGATAAATACTTACAGTTTCATCTGTTAATTTAATGTCACTTCCTTTAAGCCGAACAAGAAGTTGTTCAAATATGGTTTTTTGGACATTATCGCGGATATCGTCTGCCTTGGATTGAGGTGTTTGCACATCGTCTTTCGTTCTCAACTTGGGAGGCTTGGGCGTTTTAGATTCCTTCGGAGTTTCTTTTTTAGGAGTTTCTTTCTTAGCAATCTTTACAATTGAGGAAGTAGGCGATATTGGAGACAGTGTTGTCTGAATTTGAATTTTCTTGATCGGTGTCTGTGGTTCTTTAGGCTTAAGCACTGTGGGCATTGGCTGAGGATTAATGAGCTTGATTTTCGAATCTTTTACTACCGAGGTTTTTGGCGTAACTTTCATCAGTTTTGTGACTTTGGGCGTTCCTTGTTCCTGATTTGTTTGCGACGAACGTTTAGGTGAGTGCGCCATTACACCTATATTAACTCCCTTTTGCTGTACAGCAAGGGATACCCCCTCGTTATTGGCGTTTTTGACAAGTTTCAACTTAGATTGGGATAAGTTTCCCGGCTAAAAACGACCAAAACAGTAAATAATGGAAAAATGAGTACAAATGTTACTTACCTTTACTTTGGTTGTCACGACCTTCCCACCTGACCGCACCACTTCATAACCGGGATGGTGTTTCAGCCACTGATCTAAATTGGTTGCACTGGGCGCTTTGGCTCCAGTTAGCATATTTCCTGTTGATCGTTCAAAAACCACGACCTGCATAGAAACAAGTATTGCATAGCAGATTCGCAAAAGTTTAATTGAGTTGACCGTACCCTTTCTATTCCTTGAGCGTGTGACAATATGCAATTTTCCGAACAATATATCGAGTTTTTCCTAGATGGTCTTTGGCAGACCACACAAGGCATTAAAATCGCTGACTTTTCCTTCTCGTATTTTTTTGAAGAACTGCTACTTTCCCGTGAGCTTCGAGAGGCCTTTTTTATTCTTCGAGCTGCAGCCATTGGCCTTCTTAGAGCGGAATCCTTAAACAAAGTTAGAGAAATTGAAGACATATAATGGCAAAATCCAGGTGGATTCTGGATTTTGTTTCAAGATTTTAAGGGATGATTTTTGTCGCATAAGTAAAAATCACAATTTAATTTTTCTAAAATTTTTAAGTTCAAATTTCCGGCATCATCTTAAATTTTGATCCGTCTTTTGCTAACGCCATTTCAAAAAATTCCAGGCTGCGGCTTCTAAAAGCATTTGATGATGCATCAATTTAATTTGCCGCGAATCAGGCTCGGCTCGTCAGTTCTGGACGCACAGATACACGCTTCTTTTGTAATTTGTCGTTGGAAAGAGTGGTTTAAGGAACCAAATTGTACAAGTAAGTGATTACCTTACAAAACAGACAAATCCATTCCTTTCCTTCTGATTCCATTTGTTGGCCCATTGCCTTTGTAATATTGACGCATTTCCCATGATACCATTCTTCGCAAGTATCACAACAAATCATGAAACGATTATTGTGTGGCTGATTACAAATGCACCACAATTTGTTTGGGTCATCCTCAGATTCTTCTTCTTCGGAGCTATCTAGTTCATTACCGGACACATGTTCGTCATCTAGGGGTTTATGGAGCGGCCTGCAAATATTTTATGAAGATTAAAAGCGCACTTTTTGTATCGACACCAACGATAAAAATTATGGTTTACCGTTCTTTGGTCCGGTTATCCGATTTAGTAGGCGGTTGTCTAGAAATTAAAAAAGTTAAAAAATATTTGAAATCGAAAATTATGGAAACACTCACTTGAAAGGAGGTTTGGCAACTTCGTCTTTACGTTTGTTCCTGCTTCTAGTTGTCGGTCTTTCAATAGGTGGTAGGACGAGGATTCTTCCGTCAGGACGAACGATTTGAGTACCTTCTTTAATAACATCGCTCTGTTGGCTTCCCTGAAATAAATGTGTCTTATCAAGCACATTCACTCCCACCTAACTGTTGTACTTACTGAAAACGAGCTACTATTTGAACTTTGCGACATTTGCGATGATATATCCATAGCATCTTGAATGCCGCTTGTATCAAGTACTCCTTCATTAATTCCTTTATCGATTGCGTTCTGCAATTCGGTATTGGAAACGAGTTGTTTTGCCACTTGATAAAGAATGTCTTCTGATATCATGTCGTTATTGATGTTGTCCAGAATAGATTGATCCAGATCCAATCCGGAAGCATCCAAATTCAAGTTACTGGCCTCTGGGTTGTTTAACACTTGAACTGGGGATTCGGGTATTGGGATGGTGTTTGTTGTGTAAGTTTTAGTATCTTCATTCATAATAATTGCTCTGGAAAAACAAATTTTAACAACACTCCAGATTTTGATGAAAATAAACTCAACCCACCTAACATCTTGTGCACTTATTTCCTGACCTTCCCCGGCATTTTTCGAATATCTAAGCACAGGCTTATCGGATTCTGAGAGTTTCCTATCTCGTTCAGATACGGAAGCTCCTCGTTCCGAACTCGAATCTGAAGATAGTCGTTCGCGGCTAAGATGCTCTAGCTTGCGTTTTTCCTCGGTATTTTTCAATGTTTTGTGCTTATCCACGCTGTCTCTTCGGTCTTTGCCTTTCCCTTCTGTACTGCTAATAAATACATGAAAAATACTCAGTAAAACCGCTCTAAATTATTTCTATTTTCAGAGCAACTGAAAACATTGGATGAGAAAAATTAAAATTGATGATGATCAATACTGCAGATACTGAATAATAATTTGAAACCCATAGATGAGAAAAATGCTGTTTTTGCATTATACAAAGTTGCCCCAAACTGTCCGACGATTACCTGGTCCTGTGTTGTACATGTTTGTCCTTATCCATTCTGTCTTTTTCATCTAGACTGAGCCGATTCTGCTTAGGGGGAGTACTGGACATTTCCGATATCGATTTTGATCGAGATTCTGGTGTAATTTTACCGAATTTCGGTGATGAAAGTGGATCAGTTTTCATTGGAACTTGAGGCTTGCTGTGATCAAATCCTTTAATTCCTTTTGGTGTGGTCGGCGTTTCTGGATTGGTTGGTGTAATTGGATCTTTGCCACCAACTTTGCGGATTATATCAGGAGTGGAAAACAGCGCAAAATCTCCTAGTTTATTAAGAAATGTTGACAATTTTAAATTTATTTGTTGTTTTTTACAAACATACCTGGGATCGGTTTTGGTGGCTCCTTTTTCTTCTTTGGGTGTTTTTTCTCCGGTGGCTTGACATCCTCAGGTTTTACTTCGGGTTCTTGATCAGTTTTTCGGTCTGTTTGTGATTTGTCTGATGGTGTTTCCGTCGATTGTTGTGGCGTCTCATTGCTCTAAAAATGTACTTAATTTATTGGGAATTGTTAAAAAAATTGAGGATATTTATTACTTTCTCGGATTTTAATTCGGGTTTACAATCAGGCTTAGCATCGCTAACTTTAACTTTTGAGATTTGGGTATCGGGTGTTGCCACTGATGGCTCGTGAGGTGTTTTTGCTTTTTCAATGTCTCGGGCTGATTTTGCTGCCTTTTTGCCCTTAACTCCCGATATCTCCTCTCGGATATCGAAGTCTGAATCATTTTCATCGTCCTCCGTAACAGAGTCTTCATCTTCAGACCCTGCACATGTTTTAACAATAAATTGGCAATTGATGTGAGAGAAAACAATGATTTTACCTTCGCCTTCTGTGTCGTGTTCTTCTTCATTGGATTGCCCTTTTGTTGGACATTTTTCATTAAGTTCAGTTTCTTGCTTTTCCTGTTGCAATTTAGGAGATGTATGCAATACCTGGAAGCAGCAACCTATTACTCATGACTACAAGATTCATTTCGAGCATAGAATGAAGTTATAACCGAGTAGTAAATATGTACTTTTTGGATAAATAATGTACTTTATTGGATTATTCACAGCTTTACATTGCAATCGACTAATTTACCTTAGCCTTTCCTTTTATTACAACAGGGGTAGGTTTGTTCAAAATGGTAGGTTCTCTCTTGTCCAAGACTTTTTGAGTTGTTGCTGGACTGCTGGGTGCAGGGATAGTTATGGAAGAAAGTATCTTAATGCCTTTGGAAGGTTTCGAAGGCACGTTGACCATTATAGATTTGGGGGCATTTCTCTGCAACCGTTCCCTTCCATGCATTATATTCAGAGTGTTAGCTGAAAAAAACATTGACATCATTCTAGAGTGTCTAAGATTTAGCTTTATATTTACTCAATTCATCGTCTTCATCCTCGTCGTCGCCTTGAGCTGAGGAGGCTTGATTGGGCAATGTTAGGCATGTATAATCGTGATCTAGTTTTACATTATGAAGATTGAGTGCCACAGTGTCAATATCCTGCATGTTTCCAATCTTTGTAGTTATATCTACAACATAAGCATATACTTGAAGTGTCTCATTTGTATGGAAACAGATCGTATAAGACATGTGGTGTCTTCATTACCTTCATTAACGACGTCCATATTATCAGGCATATAAATAACATTATCTACAGTTACATCTATACTCTTTTGGTCACATTTATCAATGTGCATTATCTGTATATTCGTAGGTCGAGATGTGGATTCTAAAAAGGAGCACGTATCGAAAAGAGTTAAAGAATGTGAAAAAAGGTACTTACTTAGAAAATTATCCACTGTTTGCCTATCTGGAATAACATTACCATCTTCACCAACCAGCAATAACAAACTGTCACTTTCTGGATCATCAGTAACATCAGTTACCTTAACAACACTATTTGCCATTGTTGACTACATCAAACCTGCAAATTGAATTGCTGATTTTTAAACAGAAAAAAAACGAGATTTTTACATAAGTGAAGTTAACTGAATTAATGGACTGTTTAGCAGTTTAGTTTAGAGTGTGGGCACAAATCTAGAAATACTTGAAGAGGTCTCCTCGGCATAGAATACCATAATTGAAAATTACGTTGGTTTAAGACTGATGCAGACCAGGGGGGCGATGATACCACAAAAAGTAAAACAAATGTTAAATCATCGTACGAAAACTTTATTTTACAATATGGGGTTACTATACTAAAAATGCTCGCATATCGGCAACGACCGAATTACCGACAAATCGCACTCATCCTTGGCGTCCATAAATAAAATCGGATCTTCCTATAGAGGACTCGGTAAATGGAATGTTGCGTATTGATTATTTACCACTCACGTTTAGTGTTTGATCACGATCCACTTGAAATCCTCTTATTGTATTCTAAAGCAGAACTTCTATACAATGGAATTTTGGTTCTGGATTACTAAAAAATTGGATAATAAAATAATAATATGCGAAAGCTTCTCTTTTCTTCAACAAATATAATTGTCCTCCACTTGGCTGATAACAAACATGCCGCGCATGTCAATGTCAGTACTGTCCATGTCACTCAATGTCAAAGCTTGCTGTTGCCGGATTTCAATCTACAAGCTTTGTTAGTAATGGGATAATCTACAACGAAAGTAACTGTTTATTATCGAAATTCAGAGAGCCCAAAACCACATAATGATTGATTCTTTCCCTGAATTAAACGGGAAATCAAACGGTTCTTATACACATTTTCAATAAGAACAGTTCGAGTTTTAAGTATTTTTTGCTCAATATTAACTAGTCAAATTTTCCACAGTAGACTGCTTTATTATGTAACATAGGGGTGTTCTGCTGCAAATCCACCTTCAATTATTAGTCTTTTTCTGCTGTGAATGATACTCTAAATTACACGCTTTATGAACTCTAGTAGGGACTAGGGACTGATTAGATTTGCAATTTTTAACCTTTTTCGTCCAGTTTTTCAACTTTAAATAGGCAGGTTGTCTGAATATGTGTTGTTGTGCTGTGTTGAATATTTTTCAGTGGCCTTTTGTCGAGAAGCGACGCTTGGGCGTTGTCCTTCCTCGAGGGAGCTGTATGGCTGGCTGCCCCTTACATTCACTGTTGGTACGTCTGGCATCTGGAGTGTTGCCAACCTTCTGGGGCGAATGAGTCTGGTAACGAATCCGCTACAAGTCTGTGCTCCTAACCTGTCTTTATCTATGCTCCTAACCTCTTATGATTTCAGCGGTAACTCAACATTTTCAAAGATAGCAACGTTAAAATTGAGTTATTTTGGTTTCCTCTACCCACATGAATGTGTCAATTTTGGCTGTAATGGAGAGAACTGAGATAAAATGAAAACCTAATGCCGGATCAAGCGAAACAAAAAACTCATTAGTTCTCAGTTTATCTTAAATTTAACTAAGAAAAAAATGGAAGATACTGTTAGTGAAGAGTTGAGGAAGGTGCTGTCCGATGTCGGAATTACTTTAACTTCAAATCCCGAAGATCCACTCATTTTACATCAGGAACAGGCACTGGTCGTGAGAGAATTAAGCAGATATGTCCAGTCCAATGTGAACAAGGAATTCCTAAAGAACTTGCAGGCTTTCTGCCGAAGTGAAACGCATTTCAGGAAGTTTCTGTCTCCTACCAAGTTTCAAAAGGCTGCTGATAGCGATACTGGCTTCTACCAGGATAGTCTATTTAGGTACTGGTTGCTGCTAATTCCTTGTCTAATTAAATCCGACCAATTGTTCTTGCTGCAGTATCTTCCTCAAAGTTCCTGATCTTCAAGATGATGTCATAGAGCTGCTTTTGGAGAGTATAACTTCCATTGCCACCAAAACCACGGAGGACACGTCGTGGCTAAGGACATTGCTCAAGCCGTTAAGATGCATTCCAACATTGAACAATGGCAGCGCCTTGGCGGAAAAGCTGCTTGATATCCTGGAAATATCCACATTCGCCTGCCAGCTGGAAATTCTGGAGGCCATCCCGGAAATAATCCCAGATTCCCAGTGTGATTTGGCTGCCAAACAACTCACAGTACTTCTGAAGGAAAACGAAGAGCTTTGTGGGGCCATTGTGGACTGCTTGACCGCCCTAAATCTGGAAACTGATGTGAAGGCGGAATTGTATGATAGAATTTTAGCGCGAATTCTGGTAGGGGTTTCATTTAAGGCTTATCATATTCTCATTAAGTTTGTATTAAGTGACTTCAAGTCGCAAAATTTGCCCACTTTGATAAAAATTCGAAACTCCTTGGACAACTTGATGGGCGGCAGTTTCAAGGAGAACGGGTCTGATAAAACCGTGATATTTTATTGCCTGCAAAATGCAGCGTTAACTCAAAAGCTCGTAGCCGAGGGCTGGCTTAATACTATTTCGAGTTTCAAGCTTCATTCTGATCACAAGCCCATAGATTTTCTAATTATGTTCATGTTGCATAAAACCTGCGAAATGCGGAAAAGGATCATAGAAGCGATATTTCGAAAGCGAGTCAGTTTGGGACTATTCAAAGAAGCATTATTGCAAAGGACATTTGATAAGTACCTCACCCAGCAGCTCCTGAAAGATTACATAAGGAACATCATGCAAATTGGATGTTGTCTACTCCGATTTGCTAAGGACGAGGTCGTTGCTAAATTCGCCATCTGTTTGTTTGAGAGCCTTTTCAAGCATCAGTATACGTCGGCAGTTTACCGCGGCGAAATTCTATCAAATCTAATTTCATTAACTGGCTCTAATGATCACCACACCGTCAGTTGTGTGCTACAGCTAGTTCTTTCCCTGGTCAGAAATGAGCACCAAAAAATGCAAACTCACATTGTTTTGCTAATGCTGCTGCTTGAGAAGCTGGACACATTGGATTTGAAAGATGTAAAGATTGTTTTCAATATTTTATGCTCGTTGCTTTGTGGAGAAAAGGCTGAAGAGTCGTTTTCGGGCTTTAAGGATCAGCTGTATAATATAATACGCAAACAACTGTCCTGCTCACAAAAGACTGTTAAGCACAAGGGCATAATTAGTGCTATTGTCATGGTTAAACATACAGCATCGGTGGAATCTGAGCAAATCTCCGAAGAAGCTTTGGAAAAGTCTGAATTGATGAGGAAACTAGCTCCAGGTCCTGCCAAGGAAGCTGCCGATTTATTGGAGTTAGTTAGCTGTGCTTGTGAACACAACCCTGGCTTGATGTGTTTGTATTATGACCAACTAGCTTCTATTCTTGCCAGTGAGCTAGTTTTGAATAAGCACTTTCTCTACTGGTTGTATAAGAAAGTTGAAGATGATTTCCAGGCCACGTTCCTTACGGAAGCCACCCCGGAAGGTACTGATGATGTGCATTTTTCCATGCAGTACATGCTTAATAGACCAGAAGAAACCGATACAGTATTTTCCATTAACATAGCTGGCGACATATTTTGTGAGAAAACTGACAATATCCTGTTACTGGCCTCTAATTTTCGCGTTTTAAGGCTACTCCATTTCAGGCAGCATTCAAATCTGTCAGAAATAGATTCCTTATTAGGCTGTGGCGTTATTTTGCCCGATGTAGATGCACCTGATGAATTAGAGCCGAACCAAATCGCGCAAGTGATAGATTCTCTATTTCACTGCGTAAATTGGTTCAGGGAAGTGATCAACGCCTTTGTTACTCAGAAAGATGCACTAATTCAAGAGCGGGTAGTTAAAAGACTGGATGATCTTCTTGAAGTGGAGAGGAAACTGCAGGTGTTTTTGAAGCAAATGCCTGGGCATAATTTGCCGTTGAGTTACTTGCATTCCATGCAAACTGGGGCTAAACCATCGGCAGTAGCCGAGCCAAAGCCTGTAAAGCCGCCAAGGAAAAAAATTAAGTCTGCACCTGTAGTTACTAATGAAACTTGCAATATCACTGTGAATACTCAACAGTCCATCAAGTCGGTGGCTACTGGAGGCTCCAGCAGATCATCTGTCAGCCCACAGTTCAGAGAAATGGATACTGATTTGATATGTTTAATTAAGTATCCCTTAAAGTTCGATGAGGATGAATTGTCAGGCATTCATTTGAATATTTGCCAACTTAAGTTTATTTTTGCGGATTTTATTTCCAAGCTTTTGCTAGTAACGCGACACAAAAACATGGGACTTTCTCACTTGAATGATGTTAGTCCAGAACATCTTATGAGAGACTGTGTGCGGATCGTCCGAAATATTAACAAGTTTCTAGATATAATTGTGAAGAAAATAGACCAGCTGCTGGAAGAAGGAACCGAATCGTATTGCACGGATGAGGCAAGCGATGTTAAAACATGCCTAGGAGATATTTTTGAAATCTATTACTTGATATTTCAGTGGCAGGGTTTCCAGCACTCTGGCAATGCGGATTTACTGAAAAGCATCCTTAAATCGGCCAAAAATATGAATAGTCAAACGATGATATCCATTAACAAGTTGGTGCTGGATTTTGCCATAAAAATGAATAAGTTTGAGAAACATTGTTTGCATTTAAGTCACGCCACTAGTCTTATCAGGTCAATTGAAGCCGCCCATTCCCTTACTGCGCCTACTTTGGAAATTAAGAAAATCTTGTCTTCTTTGGCCCAAACATTCCTCAGTAGGAGATGGTATGATCATATTGGCAAGCTGGATCAAGGCCAAGCCTGTAATCAGCACATGGATATCCTTATTAAGGCCTACTTGAAGGATATTAGCACAGAAGCAGTTACTGAAATAGTGGATTCGCTGCTGCAAGACATAGAATCGCTTGAACCGAAAGACGGATGTTTACCCAAATTGCCAGCAATTGACCGCAAAAATTTTCACGTATTCTATTTGGAGTTATGCAACAGATTGTTAGATGCGACAAAAATCGAAATTCAATCCTTGTCCAATGCGGGCCATTTAACTTTGTGGCGAAACGTCGCCACTGCCATGGTCAATCTAATGGAAGTCGCCAAAATCGTTCAAAATCGCACAATGGCGTGTTTTATGAAGAAAGCCAATGGAATTTTGAAGGTATTCCTAAACCAAGGCATCCCCATGATGGAGATCATGATGAAAATGCACACTGATGAAGTTTACAACATTTTAAAAACGATTCAAGCAACCACAAGGTTTCTGCATCATCTCTGTTGTACGTCGAAAGTTACTCGGGATGCCAGCGTTGTAGCGCACATACCATCATTCAAGCTTACAATAGAATCTATAATATATCGCGTGAAAGCAGCTTTGGTAGCAAATAATTGCTCCTCGGCTTTTTGGATGGGCAATTTGCGCAATAAAGGCATTGATGGCCAAGACATTATGAGCCAGAGCACGACTGCTTCTTCATCGGATTGCCAACACGAAATGGACACTGATCAGTTACCGAGCGAAGACGATGACGATCAAAATATCATCAACCAAGAACATTTGGAAAACGATTCGATGGAAAGCGAGGTTTTTGGTTGAATAGTGTTAGTTAACTTTTTATATTGCTTCTGTATAACTTATTATAAAGTTCTCTATGTTGAGTTGTTCTCGTAAATTTACACTAGGTTTAGGCCTTTGTTTTTCAAATAGTTGTAAAGTGCTTCTGCAGATTTGTGATATTTCTCTGTTGTATGTGTTTGTACTTTTATAAATAAACATATATATATTTATATTCATTTAGTCTTTTTACCTACCTACTATTCACCCTGTATATGAATATAACAAGACACAAAGTTTTGTGGCTTATAATTGTAAGAGAGCGCGGTATTTCACTGTAATTATTGGCTGTTTTTATGTAAAATGCGAAATTTTAACTTAATGGGGGTTTCGGAAAAATTACGAGTGTTCCGTTTTGTTGATCACCTGGTGCTAAAACCGAAACTCATTCATATGCTCCACCAAGTAATATAAGCGTTTGTGTAGACACTTCAAACTATTTTCTTATTTGAACACGATGCATTTTTTCCTGTAATTTTTTTATAAAAATACCTCAAAACTCGTTAAAAACAGCTCTAAAATATTCCACGTATTAAACTGGTAAAATTACAGCTTTCAGTAATATACAGAGTTCCACTTAAAGCAAGCTCCTTACGTCCACTGCAATTTTCAACATGTTTGTGACTTATTTAAAATACTAATGGGCCATCCTGTATATTGAATATTAGCTGGAAAGTAGGAAAAATATATCATTCAAATCGAGGGACAACTGAAAGGTGTGAAGACGAATTGGCCTAAGAGGAATAAAAATTCTGGTCGCATATACAGGAAGTTGCGTGCTTAAGCACGTTGTTATTTGAGAATATTTTGTGCTAGCCGCTTATTATTAGTAGGTATAATTTAAGGAGCAGAGCTTGCGCTATATTAGATGATTCTAAACAACACAATGTTTTAGTTTTTTTTATTAAGAAATCTGGTGAGTAGTTGAAATATATCTAAGATGTAGCATACCGCGTACCTGTCCCTCTAATCAAATTAATCTACATTTATATTAAATGAACGAAAATTCAACTAATCTGCTGGATAAAATTACCTGGCGATGAGTTTACGGATCCAAAGTAATTAATTAACTTTCTGACAATTCGCATTTGTTATTGATTCGATTGCGGATAAACGAAATCAATCAGCAGAAATTGCATTGCTTGGTTCCCAATGTATTCACAGAAGGCGGTTTTCTAAGGCAAAAATTATCATTAAATTTCTGTTAATTACGTTTTGAAACCTCTAACAGTGTTCTATTTTAGGTGGAAACGATGCACAAGTTTTTTGGGTAAGTTGACATCCTTTAATTATTATAATTCGCCAATTTGTTGTCCAAAAAAACTTTACAATAATGAAGCAAAAGTTATACAGCTGAGATTTCTTGAAATCCTCAGTTTTCAATTGATGGATAAGTGGGCTGAGCCATTTTTTGCAGAAGAAAACATTCACATTGTGTTTTTACTCCTAGTTTAGTGGATTATACATTTTTAAGTACACATTCAATGCACATTGTTAATGAGTTTTAGTCATCAGAAATGTGCTATGTGAAAATATATGAATTAATATTGGTTCAACAATACCTGATGGATTTTTTGCACTTACATCATTGGAAACAGCTTGATATACAAGTGAATAGCGAAAGAAAGTTATGAGAACCGGTTCCTTTTTTATTGAACGGCATATGGAAATAATACCGCACTCCATTTAGCGCGATCTGCAAATATATCAGATGATGGATCTAAGCTGATATGAATAATGAATACGAATATACCGATTAAAAAATAATAATCATCACACAATGCGAGATGATTTAAATTGAATTTTTTTTATATATATTATTTTTTGTATAGTGAGAATAGTCACAATATATGTGAAAGTATTTATTTAATAGAGATAATTGTGACATTTTTTCAGAATCATTAATATTTTCAAGGTAACTGCGATTGACTGTTGCAATCAGTCTAACTTTATTTCATACAATTACTATGAATTTTTGCTCATTTCACGAATTATTAAGTTCGGTTGTTTCTTATTGTCGTCAAAAAGTTGTTAAATTATTTTTAAATATTTTAAGTGCCTCAGAGCAATGGACTGTTTAGTGTTCTTCAAAATGTATAAACATTATCTCTTTTTTTTAAGTTAAACATTTTGCAACTAAACGATGCCAGGGAAGCATTGAAGATGTTGAAAAACTAGTAACTAATCAAAGAGCAGATGAATGGAAATTTAGGCAATTTGCATTGTGAATTTGCGAAAAATTGTTGTATCTGTTTTTCCATTAATTATACGCAATTTTTAAATTAAGGTCTTATATTTTCTCGTCAAACCTCTCGAATTCTTATCAGGCTGCAACATTTAGTTCGCCCCTCTTTGATAATACCCCGCAAAAAAGCATACAAAAATACAAATAAGTCGTCAATTTTAAAAGGAATGCAGTTTTTGCACAGTTCCCTTTATGAATTACTAGATTTTTTCAATTGAAAATACAGAAATTTGCGGACTTTTCTTCAACTAGATACAAAGTGTTTCGCTTTTTTTTACTTGCTCCTTTTTAAAAAGTTGTGCATTTTGTCAAATTGCAAGAAATCAGAAGAGATTGGAAATGTTTTTGTTCTGTTCATTTTTCGCAAATACAGTTGTGTCCGGATATAACAAACTTGAAAAATGAACTAAAACTGGTTCGTTATATCCGGAGTTCGCTATAAGCGAATAATAATACAAAAACACGTGGTGGATTTTATTTCGTCATTTTTACATAGAGTAGTTGAAGTTAGTAGGTATAACTAAAAAGAACACAAAAAGATAAACAGAACACAATTTTAAATCTACTTCATAAAGTCTGCAATTTTTGTTTGTACATTTCTACTGCAAAAATAGATGTTATTTATGTAGTTTTCAATATCACAAAATGACTCCCAGATATGATTGGAACTTGGCGTGATTGTAGAAAATTCCGAGTTTCGCACACTTTTTTCGTCATTTCAGAAATGGTTGGAACAGCATTAGTGTTTACAGTAGAATCAGTTTCACCTAAATCGTCATCTTCCTCATTATCGCTTAAAGCTGTAGATGAGATTACGGAGTCTATAATTTGCTCATCGGTCAATATTTCTCTTGTAAGAATGCCATTATCATTGCTCACATATTCGAAGAAATCGAAATCACTCAATTTGGTTTTAACTTGTTCTTCGACCAAATTGTGCACATCTTCATCTGAGTTTGTTGAGCTGTTGTTGAGCGTGGAAGTTCGTTATAAACGGAAAGTGAATATACAACTAACCCAAAAAGTGATCGTTATATCCAGAAGTTCGTTATAAACGGGATCGTTTTAACCAGTAAAAAAATACGTTGGTTTTTATGGATGACGTTTCAATTAAAGGAGAAAAGTTCGTTTTAACCGAAAGTTCACTATAACCGGGTTTATTATAAGCGGACTTTACTGTAATTAGTTTCATTACATTGCACGTTTATATTATATTAACTTTAATTGATCCTTTTTTAATGCTTCAAAAATGGCATTGAAATCAAGTAGTTTAGAAGACGCCCCCAGTTTACTTCGGGTTGGAATTTTTGAACGCTCTGAGTGTTTTATGCAAAAAACATTTTTAGGATTTTAACAATTTGCTCGAGGAAAAGCGGTTTATTTTAAAACTTTCAATATGTGAAAGTTTAAAAAAAGTACACCTTTCATTATCCAAGCAGAATGGTGCCAGATATGAAAGGATAAATTTTGCTTAAAATAATGTCCCAAAATGTGTTCTGATCAATCTATAAGTTGTATAAACTGTCTACATTTTTCGATATAAAGCACTATATATATACAGGGTGATCTTGTAAATTCTTATTAAGAGCCATTCGCGAAAGCGTACTTTTTGTAATGTTTCATATACCGTCAAAATATGTACCTGCAATTTTTGCAAAATTACACATAAAACAGTGAACTTTACCCACAAACCGCATGAGTTGTTCTAGTCGTAAATTCTAATCTAAATCGAATCACTTCGAGTTTTAAATGAAAAACAGATGGTTGAGCAGTCACAGGCGAAGGTAAAGTGTTATTGGCTTCACACGACGTGTGACTTATCTGTTGCAGCATCCAAAGAAAGAAATTGACTTTCCAAACTGATTTTTTTCCGCGATTTAAACGAAAGCTTTCAAGTGCCACACATTCCCTGCCTAAAGGCAGAAGGCGTAGTACTACAGACCACACCTGAAGATCACTGGTGCCGGAACTTTCTTCTTTCCTCAATCTTCAATGCAATGATGGAATGCTTCTATTGCGGATATTTTCCGAAGATTCCGTTGATCACTTATTTACCTTCGCAAGGTCGAAGTACGTCAGATTGCTGCCTTCAGGTGTAGTCGCTTTACTTATCTCGTGATTTGCGGTAAAACCGTCTAAACTTTGGTTCGGTTATGTGAGAGTACGGTACGTGATCGCGGTTCCTCGGTACTTCTTGGGTGTTTCACTTGTGGCTGGTTTCTGCGTTTTTTTTCCGCAGTTTTTCAAGTGTTGTGCGCGATCGGATTATTGCGGGCTGAGGGTTTGAATTTTTCAAATATTTTTAAAACACTAAAAAGTCTTTTTATTAACAATTAATTCAACTGCTGTAGCGATTACAATCCTTTTATTCCATTACTACTAAATTTATTACTAGCATAAGGCGTTCATTGCAACAATTCTGTATATTGAAGGTACATATTCATTGTTTGCAACTCATTCAAATCTGATAACATGTTTGCCGTAAACACTATCAGGTGATAGAATCATTTAATACCATAAGACGCCCATAACACCTTCTAGCTAATTAGAATCGTTTATGCCGCATCAAAATATAAAAAAAGGTGCGCATCTGGTTTAAATGTGATTTTCCTGTGGAATTTAACTCAGTTCGAGCTTAAAGGTGTAAAGCATTAAAAGTATTTGATAAAACTGAAGTTTAAAAATCAGCATGAGCAAAAACCGTCCTAAAATTATTTTACCGGGTTTATTTTACATTTTTATGCATCTGAAGCCTCTTTATGTGTATTCGCTTAAATTTTAAGTTGAGACATGTTGAACATTTTTAATTTGTTTAAAAGTACGCAGGTTTAACAATTAAGCAGAGAAAATTAACCCTAAACACAGTGGTTGACGCCTTTTGCTTCATTTCTAAATTAAGAGTTGTTGTAAATAATTGTCACGCTCCGAAAAGTGCAAAGTGGTAAATTTTTCAAGCCCTAACACAGTTATTTGAGTTGAAAACATTTTTAGAAAAATAAAAAATAGTTTAAAATGCCTGCATATATATTATAACTATTCTATAAATGTTTACAAAACTTTCAAAGTCACAACAAACCGAAGAAACATCGGACACTTTTCCTGAAACTGAATAGTTTCTAACTAAAAAAGCGTGTCCTGAGACTTTTTCGAAAATGTAATAGTTTTCGAGTAATTTAACATTTTTCAATGAGCGTTAGTATTTTCCTTGAGAAGAATTTCTACGTCCTAAAACAACGTGGATTTGGTCATGCACATGTATGGAAAATTTCAAATTACTCGACAACTATTGACTTTTTCAAAAAGTCTCAAGACGAACTTTTCTACTTGAAATCTGTATAGTTTCAGGAAACGTTTACAAGCCTTCTTCTAACAAGTTGTGGAAATAAGATTTATTTTCTTCCCTTTTGCGGTTAACAAATAAATGTGAAAAATATACGCGCTGAGGGGGTGCCCTTTCAAGAGCCACTACCTCCGCAAATTAACACTTGTGAACCAAATTAACACTTTTTTGGGTGTAGAATATGCCCTTAAAGTCTTGCAGATAAAAGTGGATCACCATGTATATTCCAAAGAAAGCACTTTCTTCAAAAGCAGAAGAAATAAGTCCAGTATTGTTATAAGTTGTTAATTATAACAGTTCTTTATGGAAACATTTCAATTTTCGAGATTGAATTGTTTTTTCCAGTTTGTTGGCGAATTAATTAATTTTTGCAAAAAACGCGACTTGAGAGTATAAACATAAGAAATCAAAAAAATAAATCGAAAAAGTATCTTAAACATAGTGTTTGGGCGACTTTGCTCTATTTTTAAATCGAATTGTTGAAAGCGGAAGTTGTAGAAACGGAAAAGTGTAGAAAGCTCGATTTTCTCAAATGACAGAAAGTTATACAAAATTGCGTTGAAGGAAATTTATAAATATATAATTTTACGTGAATAAAGTTCGGCGAGTATTTTTAAATGTAAAAGTGGCATAAAAATTTCCTAATTTATGCAAAAGAACGACAGACTTGAAGCAGAAAAAAATACTAGAGAAATAAAGAAGTAACTGAAACTGATTGAGACAAATTCAATATTTCCTCAAAGTCGAAAAGAGGCACACAAAGCACCAACTTCTCAAGTGCCAAAGGGTTATTTAAATTTAAGATTTTTTCGCGTTCACTTTAATTTGAAATTTAAAATGTAAGAAGCAGCTGCTTACAAGCTGAAAACCTAAACTCAGCAGATAAAACTGAGAAATAACGTGAGCCTAAAAAACGAATGGAGGATCCCGTCACTGTAACACATCTCAAGAATGTCTTGATTTGAGCTTTACAAGCGCAAGGAAACTGTAAAATTTACATTTATTGCCATCAGGTTTTAAAGTGTCTAAGCAGATGTTCATTGCCAAATTGCCAATATTATCAAAAACTTTGGAGGAAACTAATTAACTGAAGTAGGTTTATTACTTTTGCTTTAATTCCAAATTAAGACAATCGTGAAAGGTAATTATTAATAATCAGACGTTTTTTATTGCGATCAAAACCTCACCGCTTTCGAAGTTCGCAGGCAGATATTTAAATCTTTAAAATAAAAATAAACTTTCTTTTGATTCGAAAAATTGAACTGTTCTTGAAACTGTTATCTTATTTTATTTATTTTTATTTTATCGAAAACCGCAAATACCACTGAAAACTAATAATACAAAACGCACAAATTGTAAACAGAAAAATTATGTTCTGAAGTTCGTGGGCAGATTATTATGGTCCAAAAAAGACAATATCAGAAAAGGAGGAAATTATCAAAAATGGATATATGTATGAAAAGAACAAATTTTCAGCTAAAAAGCCTTCTGTCTGAAGTCAATTTACTATAAACGCGATTGAAAACGGCAAGAAAATTGCAAATAAGATGAATCGTTCAAGATTTTTAAGATCAGTTTCGCTCGAAAAATTTATAGCAGGAAAAATGATTGGAGAACGGTGAACGTACAACTTGCGAAAAGGCACTGACCCTCCAGTTTATACTGGATAAAATTCTAGATGATTAAAGGCGGAAGAAAAAAAGACGTTAAACTTATGAAGAGAAATTATTTGCTGATATTCTTTATCCTGAAACTACTAAAACCAATTTGTTTCTGTGAGTTTTCTGTGGCTAATTTTTAAAGTTAGGTACATTTAAAAGTAAAACTATAAAGAAATTTGGATTAATTTAACACTAAAAGTTTACGTGAAGAAAAATACAGTAGATTTTCAAGAGAATTAAAAACGTAGTTGATAATTGAACGCAATGAATGTTATTTGGTTCAATTAGAGAGGTCGAGGAATATTTGGAAACCAAACTAAAAAGTGCGCAACTTTAAAAAGAGTCATCATGATAAAGAAATATATTTCCAAAAGTTTCCTTAGTTATACCTGAAGATCACGATTCCATCATTTAGTTGTAAATAGGTAAACAAAACGCTGAAAAATTGAGACGAACTGGAACACATCAGTGTACAGTCAAGGGCGTTTTAATAAATTCCTTAAACAGTCAGCAAAAAAAGTAAAAATGAAACAAAACTCATACAAATTTAAATTAATTACGCATGAGAACTGGATGAAAGTATCCAACCAAACCAAAACTGTTGATGAAATTTCCTGAAATTTCATTTCAGTAAATCAGACTTTAAAGTGTTGAACTATTTGTTAACAAGAAAATTTACTGAATTTCATCTACATAATGCGAACATTGCGTATGAAGCATGTTAATAACGACAATTAAATCACCTGGCAAATATTGAACTAATAAACATAATTAAGATAGGAAATGATGTTGAAACCATCTACCCGTGATCTTTTAGGCGTATTGTCACGTTCTAGCAACTTTTTTCGACGTCTGCAGCTAATGAATATTAATGAAACATAAACTTTTTAAGATGATTTGCCAGCTTTCCAAGCAATTTTCAAAGTGTGTCAGTAATTTAAGCGAAACAATGGAAACCGATTTACATGGATGCTGGTTCAATTTGTTTTACACATTATACATGTCCTGCTCACAAATCCGCTGTATGATTGATTTAATGTAATTATTCCAATCCAGTTCCGTTGTTGGAAGTGGTTTTAATAATAATTAAGGAACATTTTTGCGACAGTATACAATCTAACCATTTAGCCTGTAATGGAATGGGAATGTGTAATTTATCGGTGGTTTAAACAAGAATTTACGAGTGGCATCCTTGAGAGGAGGAAATTTATAACTCAGAGCTGATACTTTCATTTCCTTCTTTCCCGTTAAGTACCAAACAGCTGTAAATTATAATTGCGCTTCTTGGATATTGGATGTGATTAATTTCGGGTTATTTTCTTTGATTATTTTTTTGCTCTTTCGGCAAAACTCACAAGTGGAGAGGACCTGGGTTCTTCAGCAGACAGTATCAGAATATAATAAAAACATTTTTGTATCAGAAACTTAGCTATTTGTATGAAGCGGCCACACAAGTGAAACACTGAAGAAGTCGATTTATTGATAGTGCATCCAACTGATTCAGTATCAATAAAACACAATGACACGGTTCTTTGACCTACAGGGCGATTCGTGATCGTTGTGACACAAATCCCCCTTTACATGCTCCCCTTTTCGGTGAAATGTGACTATGTGAAAGGCGTTTGTGTGATAACTGGTGGAACAATCAAAAGGAGCAAAATGCCCTCAGATGCTGTGTCCTTGCTGACAACTGGATTAGGAGTTAGTGTCCTGGCCGGATTACTTTCCGGATTCTGTTACGTATTGGCCCAGGGAATTGGCACGAAGAGAAGGTAACAAAAAACTGGCGATTTTCAACTGATTGATTGAAATTGTTCTATTATCTAACATTGTGCATTCAATCCAATTTAAACCGAACCAATAGTAATCAATTATCGAACATAATTTCGCAAAATAATAATACTTATTATTATGGAATTGGAAAAGGTTTTTTGTGCTATCGTTAATTCTATTTAATTTTCGACTTTCATCTATACAAGCAAAAACGCTAAAGTTAATAGAGTGCAACATGGTATCGTGTTTAAGTTAGCCCAAATTGTATAATCAGCAATTAGTATTTTCTGGTCGCTTTTTACATTTTTGCAAGCGGAATTGGAACAGACCATATATGTGGGTATTTTTCTTTTGCAAAACATCGCGAATATTGATTGGAACCATAAGCGAATGCTTGCCAGCGGAAATATTGGATATTTAAAAACATTTTTTTACACTTTCGGCCATAAATAAATAGAAATATTGCCGGTTTTTTCAATATTTTAAAACTGTTTACCGAAATCGAGTAGATCTCGGTGTAGATTGAAATCTTGATAATTATTGTTAAGTATTTCCATTCAGACGGAGATTAAAATGTATAATTGGGCGTTGAAAAATAATTACAATCAACAATAACCTACCACTTTATACTGCATAAAAAATACTGTTTAATGAGGAAATAAGAATTAATGGATGTTAACAGTCACTATAATTTGCACTATATTTGAACTATTTGATGAGAACAAAAAAATTGTTTTTATTTATTTATTACTATTTATTTTAAGCTCTTGATTGGACTTGGATTTTCATTTTAATTCCGATTGAGATTCTGAGACATCCTGAGATATGGATTTTTAGGTTTTTAAATTTATTTTTAGTTCTTAGATTTTTGGGTGTTGGTTTAGTGGCTGACAACTAGTGTAAATTTAGTTGCTCAACTGCTGCATTTTAAGAGCATTGAAGACTGAATAATGTTGATTATTTTTTTTAAATCAATCTGGTTTTTAATTTCTATTTGCTTCAATAATTTTCTATATTCTTCTATTTGCTTCAGGAAGGACTAATTAATGTGAATTCAACATTTGAAGAGTATTTCTAACTCCTCTATTAATAAAGTTCAAATGCAAGGAAAAAAAGTTATGATTAAGTACAAAAAATTAAAGTAGATAGTGATTTTTAAACCAATTTTTTCAACCATTGGTAAAAACCCGAGTATGACAAACAAAACCTTGACCTTGGAAAGTTAAGTTAGTTGGAAGTTAAAAAAAATTCGAGGAAATACGGAAAGAGAACAAATGTATACGAAAAAAGTACTTTTAGAGGTTTCTGCATCTCAAACATCACTTGCACGAAAACAGCGATTAGGAAGAATTTTTCCATGCCCAAAAGATGGAAAAATTCGCAAGTTATTATCCAATGCTGCTTGAAACTGTTGAGTTTTTTGGGCTTTTAGACCGGCGTGGAAAAGATGCTGATGTTAATAATTTAAGTAGAATTTAGGTAATGTTGACAACTTTAATATTTAAGTTCAATATTCAAAAGTTGTCTTCCAGCGAATATGCTGTAGATAGTTTAAGGTTTGAAGTGTTTCTTACAACTTATTTCGTTGGTTATTTGGTTTATTTTTATTTTTTAATGAACAACGGAATTATTTATTTGTCGCATATGGATAGATTAAAATACGTACATATAGCGCATACACTTTAAGGCTCGAAAAAAGACTTTTACAATTATTTGTACTAAGTGTCGAATTTCGAAGAAGAAAGAAGATAAAGGAAATGGAAGAAGAAGTTTGACCTAAAAAATATAGTTTTCAAGAGAATTAAAAACGTATTTGATAATCAGGAAGCAAAAAATGAACCTATTAATTAAGTTCAATTACAGAGATTGAAGAATGTTGTGATATCAAACTAAAAAGCAAAGTGCGCAACTTTATAAAGGATTGTTGAAAAAGAGACGAAAAGTGGAAGGAAGGCATCGATGTACACAAGAGCTTTTTAATAAAATCCTCAAGGAATCAGCAATAAAACTTAAAAATTTAAACAACTAATACAATTTAAATTAACTACTCGCTCAACAATCAGGCAAGTTTTCTGAAGAATTTCGCCACGAGAACGTCCAACTTTAAACTAAAAGCTCAAAGCCGCTTTTTAAATGTTCCAAACGATCCAAACAAACCAAAAAAGTTGGGAAATTATGAAATTTTCTGAAACTCCTGTTGATGGAAGAACATTTACAATTCTTTTTTACTTGTATGCTTAAATTGTTTATTTACGCATCAGTTTTCAAGCTGGAATATCCTTGATTATAAAGCAATGAATCTAAATCCAGTGCTTCTTTTAGCTGTTTGCTTGTTTTTTAATTTAAATCAGTCTCAGTCCACTTTCCTTTTAAGCGCATTGATGATGGCATACATCAATTGCTTGTAACGGCATTATGGAAATTCAACACATTCTTACGGTAGATGCAGTAAACTTCACGATAATTCACTTAACATACATAAATTAGTCCAGGTTTTCCTCTGCTTCAGTACCTAGTTAATATCAATTAACTCATGCACGGTGCGATGTTATTTTGCAATCATCTTCATCGCTTTGTATTTGCTGCTTTTAAACGCTCTATTATTAGTGTGGCTTGTTCGAAAATTGTGCAAGAACAGTGTTTAATTTACACAATTTTCCATTCAAATAAACTATAAAAGAGTGTGTGTTCCGATTTGTATGCGTTCGGCGTTTTGGCTCCGGATCAATGGCCATCCAATGATGGCGCGATTCCGGTTTACCATCCTAAGCGACCCCAAAACCAGATCTCTGTTCTCATACATCAATCGTAAATTACACGTGTAGTGTGCAATGTTTTTTTTGCTGATTAAAAAGTAACAGAAAAAATGCACTTTTTCATCGATTGATTGATTGCATAGAAAGTAGTTTGTATAGTGCAGTTGGTTGGATTAGTGCGTGTTTGAATTTAATGGAACTTAACATTAGAACATAGAAAGGTATTTTTTAAATTTATTAATTCATTATTTGGACTACTGACGAAAACAGCAGTAATTAAGCGTTGAAAATTACTTGAAATCAATTGCTGCATACACTTTTTCTTGAGAGCAACTGTGGTATTGTTAACTAATTTTTTTCCACTAAGCAGGTATGTTTTAAAACCATTTAATTGCGAGTTTTATTGTTGATTGGCATTCGTTTCACTTTCCAAAAATTTGCTTAAGACATACATATACTTTTATCTACATATATGGATTTTTTGTCCGCATCTATCTATTACTGTGTTTTACAACAGCTTTTTATAATTTAGGAGACAAGTTGGCAGAAAAATCTGTATTTTTTCCATATATTTCCTTATTTCCAATAACAACTCAATTGTTTTTAATGCGTACATTCGTTTGTTCCTTATGTATCGTTAACCTATAGTTAAAAAACACAAATGTTGAATAAAAAGCACAAGATTGATCTAAACGAAAATGTGTGTCACTTTCATTTCATTTTAGTTAGATTCAGCTTCTTGGATACTGTTTTCAGAAACTTTTAAGTTCCGACTTTATTTTAGATACTAAAATATATTTCATATTTAGAAAGCAAAATAAGCAAGTCCGTGCTCAATCCAGATTTGCGTCTTTTCGCCTATCAGATAATCAGACATTTTATTTCTTGGTCGGTCATTTTTGCAATATTTTCAATTGATTTTGGACAAAATACAAGTAAAGTTTTTCTTTTAACATTGATGCTTGGGTGGAACCCGAATAAACTCAATTTCTGTTGGAGTTTCTGGAGGATTTTTTCGGATCATTCAAACTATATTTTCATTTTAGTCCCGTTTAGATAAATAAATTTTGCTAATGGAAAAAAGTACTTAAAAAGCTAAAAACTGCTTCAAAAGTAGAGTACGAGTAGAGTGAGTTTAGAAGTACTGAAAACGACTAATAAATTTTACAAAATTAACAGAAATTTAATAAGATGAACGAAAAATGAATTCTATACAATAGAACAAAATTTTCTCATGTTACTTGAAATAGAACGAACTAGATTAGAAAAATATCTAATTATTTTGCGCATATTTGTAGTTCTATTGCGCTTCTTACGTGGAACTTTCGTATCGTTCTGGAATTAATTGGTTTTTATAAGTTACTCCAACAATTTTTATTTTTTTATCCAAAATTTCATAAAAGTGTAGGTCGATGTGATGAAAAAAACTCAAATTTTTCAAAATACCCCAAACACTGAACATTTGCATAATTGGGAAGTACGAATTAAGCAAGAATTAAGTCGAAAGGTGTGAAAAAATTCGAATATAAAATTTTAATTTTTTTGCCCAAAATTTTATTAAAAAATGTTTTATTTGAATGTACTACAAACGCCGTAAATCGACATAATTTAAAAGCTCCTTAAGTCGAAAGCGGTAAAAAATTCATTTGTAGTTTTTATTTTTTTGCCGAAAATTTCATAACTTGGAGGTGAACGAAAAAATAAAATTTCTCAAAATGCTCCAAACACAGTAAATTTGCATAATTGGAAATCTCCTTATGTCAAAAGCAGTTAAAAAATTGGCATGTAAAATTTTTATTTTCTTGCCCATAAATTTCATTAAAAAATGTTTTATTTGAATATGCGACAAACGCCGTAAATTGATATAATTGAAAAGCTTCTTAGGTCAAAAGCGGTAAAACTTCGCATGTAAAGATATTTCTTTTTTTGCCCAAAATTTCATAAGGTGGAGGTCGATGTTTCCGAAAAATAATAAATCCCTCCAAATGCCCCAAACAGAAAATTTACAGAATTGAGATGCTCCTTAGCTCGAAAGCAGCCAAAAAAGTATGTGAAATGTGTGAAATTTTAAATTAAATTTCTCAAAATGCACCAAACTTGGGGTTTTGAGGGTAATTGGGAAGCTCCTATGGTCGAAAGCAGGCAAAAACAAACACACCTTCTTTTTAAAGTGCGTTTAATTATAGTAGTTCTTATCAATTTTTTTAACTGTTCCTTTGATCTATTTTGTTCTAATTTCAGTACAGGGTGATTTTTTTGATACCAGTCAACTTTCACAATCACGCAGGCAAAAAATGTTTCTATCATTTCTTGGTACCATCGACTGGGTCACTCTGTATAGCAAGATTCCTGACTAAAAATAATACAGGAAAAAGCGTCCAAGAGAAGTTGAAGTAAAAAAATTGTTTACATCATAAGATACATAACAAATTAAGAATTCAATGAAAAATTGGAAATTTTTTTGATTGATTTTGTTGCTGGTTCTGATTTCTCAAGTCGAGAGAGAAAGCTGTTGCAGAATAAAACATTTAATATATGCAAATCATCCCAATTTGATCTTGTTGAAAAAGAAAATATTCCCCTAGGGTTTACATAAAAATTTCCTATAATCTGAGTTAAATACATAAAATACAGTGTGTCCCAGACTAGAAACAGAACATATATTCAAGCAAACTCAACCGTGGCATATGCATTGTAAGCACTAACAAATATTTAATCTTCCAATCTCTTGAGTAATAAAAATCTAGGCCAATGCTATAAGAAAAGCCAGATAACTTTAAAACCTGTTAGGTCGTTGCAAAATAAAACGCAGACAAATGTTGAGTCTCCCAGAAGAAAACTTCAAAGATTAATAAATATATTCCATATAAAAACAAACAGGAAAGTGTTTAAAAATACATTTAGAAACTTTCCTTTGGCAAGTTTAACCATCACATCCAATTTCCTCAGTCCCTTTCGAAGAACATAGCAACCGGGGATCTTCGAACTGTTGAGGCTCCATGAATCTCACTTTCTTCGTCGTGGGTCATAATTTTACAAACAACCACTTCCAAAGTGCACAGTAAAAACAACAACATAAATACATCCAAATGAGTGGTGTTTGTTTTGGCTTGAGTCCCAGGGGGATGATCTTCCTTCACCCCAACACTTTGAACACTGACTAGCAGCGGTAAAAACCACATGGTCACCTTGTCAGTTTATGTACAAGTTCCATTCATCTCCCGCTTTTACAACAAAAAAAAACCTCACAGAAGCACTTGTTCGTAACGACATGGACTGCCACCATACACAAACACTGAGATGTCTACCACATGGAAAAGTAAGAGTGTTTACAGATTACATCGTTCGCAAATGCACTTTCTCGTCTTTAAGTAGGACACGCTGGTTGGCGGCATTAAATAATATATTACATAAACATTGTCGAATAGAATATCTACACAGAGAGACTGGCAGCTTGCTTATACTTGTTTACCTACATTGATTACCACCCACCAAATAACACTTATCAACTAATATGAATTTTATGGTAATTGAACGGTTTACGGTCGATGGATTCGGAATATCTAACTATGAGTTACAGTACATCTGCATGTTTCAAATTCCAAGACCAAACCAGCTTTTGCAATTTACATGAATTTTTACCATGCATGAATTGAATCGCTCATAAAATTCTCGTTTCGTCAGTCATATTTTTGCATACCCATATTTTTAAATCAATTTTTCTTTCGATTTGTTTTCATTAAAAATGCGTTGGTCCTCTTCCTTTGTATTTCACTTGATGCTGGCTTGATTTCGAAGAAAAAAGGTTTTTGTAATATTATTTTATTTTGTCGTTGCTTTGGTGTATTTTTCAGGCCCATTGGTATGCTAAAAGTTGGTCATTGTTTGTTGGTAAATTAAAATTCAATTTATAAAGCGGTTTTTAAAGGAAATTCAACAAAATATTTCAATATGTAAGTTAATTTCTTAAGATGCATATTTTTTAAATATGAACGGTTTTTAGAGGTAGCACAGATCATAAGAGTGATTTGTTAAATTGTCTTATTTAAGTTTCTTTTGATATTTATTAATAGCAGCTTTTCCAATTAGGGAGAGCTACAAATTAAGTTTTGGTTAACAAATTAGATTTATTTAGTCCAACTTCAAATGGAAACATCTACATTCAAGCTGTTGGTGGCATATTTAGCTTTAAAAGGCCCATATTTAAATAATACTTTCAAATAGATACAAAATTTCAATAAATTTCAAACTTGTTTCATTCTGTACGCAACGAAATTATTAAGTACTAGATAATATACTAAATATGAGTAGTTTTGATTTATCGAGAAAAAATATAAAACTCAAGAACAACTTGAACAAATTGTAAAAACAGTCCAGTAATTAACTACAATACATACTTTATGGGTTCGTTATTTCAAAACATTCTCTTCTTACATGTTTAAAATCGAGGTAAATGTATACAAGTATGTTCAAAAACGTACATTCTATAGTCGCAAAATCTCGCATATTTTAAAATCTTCAAAGCACATCTCTCTATAATTTTTTATTAAACATTAGAAAAATGATAACTAAAAGAGTGCAGACCTCAAAAAAATATTTCAACATTACTTTTCGCTTCAGCTTAAAGAGTAAAAATGACATTGTTTTACCTAAAATAAATAGTGTGTGGTGTTTTGTTAAATTTTGTGAAATCTTAAAATAGCAAACTGCCATTATTTCAAAAACTTAACTTAGATTAAACGATTGATGTAAGTGCATAGTTAAAACGCATTTGCGCTCATACTGTATGCATTTACCTTGAATTTCACTAGAAAATAGATAGTGCAAAACACCTTTAAATAAACCCATAAATTATGTAGATTCAATTGGCTGCTAAAGCGTTAACGCAATTTTTAAATTGTTGTTCTATGGTTCAAAAATCGTCCTCATTTTAGCAAATACTAAATTGTGAATCACCTGTTTCAAAGTTTGTAGAATATTTGTATATAAAATATTTTTAAAGTTTTTAAAAGCCAGCATAAGCTTATTATACTGTACGAAAAGTGTTTTAAAATGTATTGGAATATTTTAATTTGCAATTGAAATAAATAAATAATAAATAAATACAAATAATGCATTTTAGAATCGCCCGCACTTTTCATATGAAGGAGATATGTGTAATTCCAAACTTGACCCAATTTAGCTTAATAATAACATTGAAAATACATCATCCAATTTGTTTATTAACAATTCCATTTAACAAGGTTAAACTAATGTGCTATCTTGCTGAGGTGTGTAATTTATGTGACAAATGGAAATTTAAAAAAATAAATAATGCGTGTGGCTTTTATCTGTTTTTTCTATGAGAGAACTTTGAGAAAAAGTTCGTTGTGCTCTTGCTCATTTTGCTTCCGAGAAACGAGCAAAAAACGGGACGAAAAACATGACTTCTTGAAATCAAGAGTTTTTTTGAGAAAACTGCCAACATTTCCTTATCGATGGTTCACTTTCTAAAAAGGCCATTTAGTTATCTGCGAAATGATTCCGAAAAACGAGCAAAAACGGGACGAAAAACATGAAGTTTTGCATAATCTTGCTCTTAACTGTCTGATATTCAAATTTCGCTTTCTGGGTCAAAACTACTCGAATTTCCTCACTCATGTTGTTATGACTGAATCGAATTTACAATTACCTACATTAATAACTAAAATTGATTGAAGTTTGATGAAAAAATACAATATTCATTAAGCGACAATATAATTAAAATAATTAAGCAACAATAATCGTTATATTAAAAAATGTTTTTTGTTGGTTTCAGAGCAAAAAAGAAGAAACCCGAATGGTACTGCGAAATATGCGGCACGTACTTGCACTCAACCAACAACATCTTAAACGAGGATTTGGTAACATGTGGAAAATGCGGTGCTAAAGTCTGCACGGCGAAATGTGCCACTTTTGTGCAACACACAAGATGGATTTGCCAGAACTGCTTGAAGCCATCGGAGTCTTGGTTCAGGGGAATCGTGAAAGCCATCACTCCTAATCCTTCAGGTAGGACTTTTTTTCGGTTATCGATAAGAGTTAGAAAATGCGCTTATAAGCACTGTCCAGCTTAGCCGTTTACCTACTAAAACTCTTCTATTCTTTCATTGCCTCTTCATGTTCATTCAATTTATTATTCTGCTTCTTCCGCTGGATCTTTAACTTAAGTTGAAGCTAAATCATTTCTAGTTCTAGTTCTGTTAGGAAGCTCTCCAGAAAAGTAGGATATATATTTTTTTATTTCAGGCTACTTCAATATAATGATTAATCCAGAAGTGCCCTGCAATCCGGAATTCGACTCTCTACGACGGCTGGAAAGAGAGCAAGTCCGCGATTTCATCGAAAAGCTGGTCAATGTGATGTTGGGAGAAAATGTCGATAATGCTGCTGTTTCCATGCTATACAACGATAGTCACTGTGAGTAATTTATTGCTAATTAATACCCACTAATAAATGGCGAATGAACTAATCACTTAACTAAATAATTCCATAGTTGTTAAATCATGTTGATGCTGAAAATATTGAGTGTTTGAGGGTTGAGGTGACAAATTTCTAAGGACGATTTTATTCTGAAAAATATGGGAAACGTTGATAAGGGTTTAATTTCCTTCGCAAAAGTGGCTTTTTATTGCTTAAACACTTTTGATTGATTGATGAAAAGGCAATAAAGTACTATTTAGTGGGTTTTTAATGCAGATCAAACGGTTTCATTTCTTCTTCGATTTATAGATCGAAAATACACAGCGTTTGCTCATGTGAACATTTCTTTAGCAGTTTAGTTCCCTTCCATATTTAAGTAAATTTCCTCAAAAAATAATATTATGCATTCATATTTGTTGTTTTAATATAGTTGAAGTTTATTTTAACTTCTTCAGGGCATGCTTTATATTCCAGATAATCAACTATTCATCAGTTATCATCAAGAACTCAGTAATGCTTTGACTGAATTAGGGTCAGCATTACACATTTCTGTGTCTAGTAAGTTTAATGATTGATGAACAAACATTCCTCTCACCGATCACTAGCACACGAAATGCTAACAAATTGCACACTTTTCCGCACATTTTATTTGCGTTTTTTCTGCTTTCTTATGAATTACTGCAATAAAACATACGACGGAATAAATCTGAAATCATTTGCAATTTACATCAACCGAAAAAGTCGGGATTAAATATGTATTTCAATTAGAACAGTATATTTGTTTTAATTATGTAACATTAATCAAGTGAATGGCGTAAAGCGTTTTTTTGCAACCACAATGCAACAAAAGGTGTGCGATTATTAATGAATTTTTAAAGTATAATTAATTAGGAATTTCATGACTGTGCCGAAATCTCGTATAGTGAAGATGGCAAAATAAATATGTAATTAATACAAGGTTATCCACTGATTTCGTCATATATTTTTTGGATGGATCAGAATTTGCTAATATTTATTACCCGTTTACTGAACAGGATCTGGAATGGAATATTTCTTTTTTACGGCTGCTTTTGCGCTTTTCTTCAAACATCTTGGTCATTTTTCCCAGCCAACTTCATATTTGCTTTCAATGATTTCTTGTAGTTTTTGAGCGTTTTATTCACCTGCTCATTTTCTTTGTAATAATGTTTTTAACAAAAAAATCTGAATTTGATTGTTTTACAAGCCTTAAAATGCATGCCTTAAAATCTAGTTTTTATTCCGTTTTATTTTTATTATTCTAATTGATTTTGTTTAAAAAAACGCTTAAAGTTATTATTTAATCACGCTTTTACCTTTGAAGCCCCAAAATCTTGATTGCTGCTTTGAAAATTGATATTTTTTCTTTATTTAGACTGTTTCTTTT